TGCGGGACAGGGAGTAAGTCTGGAATCTGGAACTTCAGTTCTTCGGCGGAGATTCAGCTGGAGGCCGTTTTGGGATCTTCTGGAGAATCCAGCTCAAGCTTTCCGCTGTTCTAGAAACGATGTTGTTCCATTTACCTTCCTCAGAGCGATCCCTCACGGGCTCAAGTTTTTCAAATGCACGTTTATTCACGGGATTCTTCCTCCTGTTCAATGTCTGTTCTTGTTAGGGGGCCCACAAGTGGCGGCTGGCGGTGGAACTGTGCAGGGCCCCATGCCAGCTTCTGGTCTCTGTTTTCCCTTACTTGTAATAGTTCCTTTACTTGTTTGTGGGAAGGGGAGAGGGCCCTGCCCAGCGGTGCTCAGGGCTCACACCCAGCTCTGTGCTCAGGGCTCACTCCAGGCTCTACCCTCAGGGCTGACTCCCAGCTCTGTGCTCAGGGATGACTCCCACCTCTGTGCTCAGGACTCACTCCTGGAGCTGTGCTCAAGGCTCACTCCTGGCTCTGTGCTCAGGGCTGACTCCTGGCTCCATGCTCAGGACTCACTCCCGGCTCTGTGCTCAGGGATCACTCCTGACTCTGTGCTCAGGGCTCACCCCTGGCTCCATGCTCAGGGCTGACTCGTGGCTCTGTGCTCAGGGCTCACTCCCGACTCTGTGCTCAGGGATGACTCCCAGTTCTGTGCTCAGGGCTGACTCCCAGCTCTGTGCTCAGAGCTCACTCCCGGCTCCATGCTCAGGGCTGACTCATGGCTCTGTGCTCAGGGCTCACTCCCAACTCTGTACTCAGGGATGACTCCCGACTCTGTGCTCAGGACTCACTCCCGGCTCGGTGCTCAGGGATCACTTCTGGGTCTGTGCTCAGGGCTGACTCCCACCTCTGTGCTCAGGGCTGACTCCGGCTAGTGCTCAGAGCAGACTCCCGGCTCTGTTCTCAGGGCTCACTCCCGGCTCTGTGCTCAGGGATGACTCCCAGCTCTGTGCTCAGGACTCACTCCTGGAGCTGTGCTCAAGGCTCACTCCCGGCTCTGTGCTCAGGGCTGACTCCCAGCTCCGTGCTCAGGATTCACTCCCACAGGTGCTCAGGGACCAGACGGGTGCCGGGGACGGAACCCAAGTCAAGAGAGCACACGGAAGCACCCTCCCACTCAACTCCCGCTCCAGCCCACTTTGTTCCTTTAGTCTTTGGGGGCTCCACTGGCTGTGGGGACCGGGAAGCCCCCCAGCGGGCCCGGCCAGCGCAGCGGGGGCCGCGTGCCCTGAGCTCTGAGCCCCAGGGCCAGTGAGCAGCCGCCCTCCTGCCTCCCCAGCCAGCCGGCATCTCACCCCACCCGCCCCTCTGGTTTGGCTGCTTCTGGTGCCAAGAGATTCCAGAGCTGATGTTTCTCCGGTTGTCAGTCTTCTGTGCAGTCCCGGTAGGGATAGATGACTCCTGCCTGCGTCATGTTTTGCTCTTTTGAGAAATCTGTTCCTCCCGAGGCGTAAACGTTTTTGTCCATGTCTGTCGTCTTCTGGATTTTATGGGGTAACAGGCCGACAACGCCTGATGAGACACATCAGTGTTCCTTTTCATACTTTCTGGTTCTCTTCACGACGAAGCATGCAGTCGGGCTTATGAAACTTCTGACAAGCAGGACAGCGTGTTGTGTACCTACGCCAGCTTGTGCGCTGTTTGAATCAAGCCGGAGAGTCAAAGCGAGTTTGCCTCCGAGCCTTGGCCGGCCCTCTGCACGCCGCACGCTTCGGCACGCCGCTCCCCTACTTAGCACCGAGACGGGCTCCTGTGCCTCTTTGTGATTGGGTGGGGGTCGGGGGGAAGGATTGGAGGTGGGAGGTTCACATGTGCAAAGCACATGCTCCTGGCCCCTGCGCAAGGATGACACGCAAATTCGTGAAGCATTCCGTATTTTTGGTGTTGGGAGGATCCTCCCAGGGTGGGAGATGCATGCTGAAAGTAGACTCTAGACCGAACATGACTGCCACTCAATGCCTCTTTTGCAGACCACAGCACCCAAAAGGAGAGAGAGAACAGAAGGGAATGCCCTGCCACAGAGGCAGGTGGGATGGGGGGGATGGGGGGCGGGAGGGATACTGGGATCCGTGGTGGTGGGAAATGGGCTCTGGTGGAGGGAGGGGTATTTGATCGTGGTATAATTGAGACCCAAGCACAAAATTTCTAAGTTTACAACTGTACCTCATGGTGTCTCACTAATAAATTTTTTTTTTTTAAAGCACATGCTCCAGCCCTTGGAAATTCCCTGCCCCTTTCATCTGTCTTTAATAAGATTGCGGCAGTATTTATTGTGCCTCTCAATGCTTTTTTTCCTCATTTTCATGCTAAATTCTATTGTGCTGGTAACTTTTCCTTCCCAACTTTTGTAAGTCTCCAGCTACTTGTTTTTTTTTTTTTTTTCAATCTTGGATTTCTGAGCCTTTGTTTCCTAACTAGAAGAACTCAGCTCCTGAATAAAGTTGCTTTGTTTTGATATTCCGTCTTAATTACTAATTTGATTCTCCGTTGTTAATTTCTTCCTTTATCCCCTATCGCCAACTCTTACTCTCTTGCTCGAGTTTTTCTCTCCCTTTTTCCTCCCTTATTCTCCTCTGCTTTTCGATCCTGGTTACTTTCTCTTTTCTAAACCCTCCTAGTCAACGTTTTCTTTTGACATCAAAACGGCAACATTAACCCTCCCTGCAAAAGGCCCGAAAGCCTAATTCATCCCCTTCCCCGTCCCCGCCGCCCACACTCCAATCAAAGCTGAAATTCTTAAGACACCTTCATTTTCACCTCTCAGTTCCTAGGTTTTACTAATACTTGATTATTTTCTGTTCCACACTAGTATGGAACTTTATTTACAGCGCATTATGTTCCAAGGACCCTTACTTACTAGGTACTGGCATCGCCAAACTTTAATCAGATCCCCATTGTGCTGTGGAGGGCAACCGAGTTGCAGAACGCACGTTCGTGAACTCTCTGTCTCCCTGTGGGGGAATTTCTCTGGAGTGGACGATGCTGCGTGCTGGACATCCTGCTGGCCTGCAAGCCGCTGGCCACTGGACTATGTGACTCATCTGCTTTCTTCTTGTGCCTTGATCCGGTTTTGGTGTGGGGGTCGCCTGACAGTGGTCAGGGCTTATTCTCTGACCTGATGCTCAGGGGACCAGCTGCGGGGGGGGCGGGCGAGGACTGGCCTGGGCAGGCGCCCCGCCACTGCCCGCTCTCCAGTGCTCCATCCTGGGGCAGTGCCGAGAGGGAGACTTTGGAGGCAGAGCTCTGGGCTGTCTGCTGTGCGTCTGACGGTGCTTCACTGATCCTCAGAACCGGAAGTTTCCATTGACCCTGCCCGACTGGGACCCGGGCTCACTGATCTTCTCATCTCTCTGAGCCAAGAGCTCACTGGCAGCCAATCCGGGAGACGTGTCTGGCGAGCGGGCTCCTTCCTGGCAGCTGGGGGGACCCGGACTCGCCGGCATCTCCACCTGAACCTCCCACCCTGGCCCCGACTCCTGGGGTGACGTTGTCCCCGGATGTCCCTCCCACGCTGTCCTGAGCATGGCTAAGGCGGGTCTCCTGGAGACAGGCCCCAAGTGTTCTTCCAGTCTGAGTCCCAGGCAGACACATGGCCGAAAGGTTCTCAGTTGTGGTTTCCCGATGTCCACTCCTGGCCGCCGGGGCCCGGGTCAGCCTGGCCGGGAGCTCGTGCTAGTTCCCAGCACAGTCCTGGCTGTGGACGCAGCCGTGAGAAGACACCGTGGGCTTGCAGTCATGACGTCCCTCTCTGCACTTTGGGGCCGGCCAGGAGCAAACCAGGTGGCAGGGCACAGAGCGGGCCCCGGAAACCCGGGGGATGAGTCAGAATCCTGCCTGCTGGGCCCCAGCAGATTCCCAGCTCTGGAGCACCCTCCAGACCCTGCCGGTTGCCCCTGGGGACAGTGAGGACGGCCACTCGGCCGTATCCCCCGCCTCACACCTGCCCCCAACACGCTTCGCCTCTCCGCCGTCCCACGAGTGAAATCCTCCACGCAAGGTCTGTCCAGCGAGGGGTGGCCGCTGCTAGCAGCTCGGGGGAAGCAAGCTGTATCCGTCGGGGGACGCGTCAGTCTTTCTCCCGCTTTGATGTACGATCCCATTACCAGTCTCGCCCCAGGAAACAGCTCTTCATTAAAAATGTTCTATGAAACTCTTAGTCATAAGGGAAAACTCTGCCCCTTGGGGTGGCGAAAGGGGGGCGGGGGGGCGCTTGGGAAAGTATGCACACCACGGAAGCAGGCCCCGAGCCAGCCGGAGGAGGAGGAAGGGCCCCCCAAGAGGGTCCGGGGAGGCAACTGGGCGGGGGGGGAGGGTGCTGGAGTCGAGACTCGCCAGCAGGCCCAGGCCTAGGAGCGGCCTTTCCACCCCTGAAGGCTCCTGGTTCCGGAGGCCTGACCTCTCCCCCGCACCCACAGAGATGGGGACCGTCAGGACGGACTGTCCCTTCAAGGCCTCAGCTAGGAAGGGAGTGCCAGCCTCCACCCCACCCCCTCACCCCCCGGGCAACTGCCAGAGGACACAGGACGGGGCTGCCTTGGAGGTGTCAACAGCAGAGCGGAGAACACCTCGGAGGCACCAAGCAGGAACCCTCAGTTGGTGCCCGAGGAGGGCCACAGGGCGCATGCTGGCGGCAACTCCGAGACTCCAGACACAGCTGGTCTCGGCATGTTCGGAAACATCCGGCCGTCGCCAAATTCCCCGGGGGGGGGGGGGGCGGCCCCCCCGCCACCCCGCGCTAACGGGCGGGTCCCGCCGGCAGCACGGGGAGGCCTCAAGGAACTGCCAAAGGGCTTCGCTCTGCAGTCCCACGGACGCTCGAGAGCTAGGCGTGTGGATGGGAGGGTAAACCGAGGCAGCCAGGGGACGCTGAGGCATTACCGGCGGGGCAAGTCCGCGGGGACGCCCACAGCCCTCGGTGGGGGGAGGAAGTCCCCCCCACCTCACGGCCCCCCAAGGAGTTTCTCTGCTCACCAGAACCGGCCGCAGCTCGCAGAACACCAGGAGGGACGCCAGCTCGATGTCCTCGCTGTACCCGTTCTTCAGGGGCACGGCCCGAAACCCTGATGGGAGGATGGACCAAAGAAATGACAAGAAGCCCAAGGGCAGATCAGGAGCCGGGCCTGGCGGGGGGCCTCACGGCGGGGGCCCTGCACGGCCTTTGTGACTCTGCTCTGCTGGGTTCCGTGTGTCCCCAAGGGCAGGGGGACCTTCTGGACGCCAGACCCACACTCCGGCCTGGTCTGCAGGAGCGAGCGGCACTGCTGGGAGGGTTGAGGCAGGAGGGGGCTGGAGCCCTCGGAACAGTCTGATCTGGGCCCCCTCCGGCTGGGCTCCAGCTGCCTCAAAGGCTTAAGCGCCGCAGCCCTGTAACTGGGGGGCCGAGGGGGGTTAGTTTATTTTTGGATCCCGAAGGCCCCACGTCTTCTGCACAAAGGGGGTTATTCGCTTTATTTCACGCCTTCAGTGAACAGGGACGTGGCAGGCAGTGCCCTCGAGGGTTCTGTCTTTGCATTCGAAATCTCCCACCGAAGACCAGGCGTGTTCAACCAGCACGGACACACGGACACCCTGCGGCTGGTCAGCGAGAGGCCAGTTCCCACTTACGTGCGCTGGGAAGCAGCCCCCCAGCCCCGGGACCAAGCAGCAGAGGGTGGGAGCGGGGGGGAGTGGGGGAGGGGGAGGGCACCATTACTGTGAACAGCCCTGGGGAGACTGCACGGGGGCAGGGCGCTGGGGGTCCATCCCCACACCCCGCCCAGGAGCGACCCCCGAGCATAGGGCCAGGAGGAAGCCCTGAGCACTGCTGGGCGTGACCCTTCCCCCCCCCCCCACAAAACTAGTCCTGAGCCTTACTTAGTTGAGGGGCACGGTGGCCCGGAAAGGGAAGGTATGCCAAATTTCAGGCCCCTGAAATTTCAGGGACTTGCATATTTATAGCACTGTAACACTGTCCTCCCGTTGTTCATCGATTTGCTCGAGCGGGCCCAGTAACGTCTCCATTGGAGACTTTGTTGTTACTGTGTCTGGCATATCAGATACGTCACGGGGAGCTTCCCAGGCTCTGCTGTGCGGGCGAGATACTCTCGGTAGCTTGCCGGGCTCTCCGAGAGGGGCGGAGGAATTGAACCCGGCTCGGCCGGGCTGGCTGCATGCAAGGCAAACGCCCTAATGCTGTGCTATGGCTAATCATTTATTATATTACAAGGCGGTGGATATTTAGCTTAAAATGTCAAATGATAGGGGGCTGATAGTACAGCAGGCAGGGCGTTTGCCTTGCACGCAGCCGACCCGGGTTTGATTCCCAGCACCCCGTATGGTCCCCCAGCACTGCCAGGAGTGATTCCTGAGTGCAGAGCCAGGAGTAATCCCTGAGCATCACTGGTGTGACCCAAAAAGCCAAAAAAAAATTCAAATGATTTAAAGAAGCAGTTGATGAAAACGTTTCTCAATAAGAAGGCTGCTCAGTCTAGCCCCGTTTTCTCCAGGTGCCATCCCAGGACACCTGGGCGCTTCCTGGCCTGGGAGCAGCTGGGCCCCACCCCAGAGCCTCCTCCTGGTCGACTCAGGTGGTGCTGAGGGCAGGAACGCTCAGACTGACCATCCCGGGAGAGGTCGGAGCTCACTGGAAAGGCCTGCTATGTTCTATATTGGGAAAGTAAGAAAACAGGACTTCTTGGGCCAGAGAGAGAGCACAGCAGGTAGGACATCTGACATGTGCACATGCCCGACCCGGGTTCGATCCCCGCCCCCGGTGTCATCCCTGAGTGCAGAGCCAGGAGCAAACCAGAGCACTTCAGGGCGTGGACCAAAAAAAATTGCAAAAGAACTCCTCACGCCACATCAGAGAAAAGACTCGACTCGTGTCTGCATGGCCCAAATCCGTAAAATTGCCTTTTTCTCTTGTGACGTGACCCTGAGCAGACAGGGGAGCCGTGACCTCGGGGGTGTTCGGATGGTTCCGGGGCACCCAAAGCACCAGAGCAGGAAGAAGAGCAAGAGGGTTTGACCAGTGGCTCAGAGACGCAGCCGAGGGCGTCCTGGCCGCCCGGGGCACAGGGGCTGCGGGTCCTGCCCGGCTGCAGCCGACGTCTCAGTGCTCAGGCGAACGAGGGTCCAGCTCTTGGCTCTCGACCACCCAGCTCGCTGTCCCCGAGCTCGCCCGGGGCCCGCCGGGACACGCGTCCACCCGCACCTGACTTGATGCCCCTGATGGGGTAGGTGGCGTGCGCCAGGAAGTTGGGGTCACTGAACATGTCCTCCTCGTAGACCGCGAAGCGCAGGAAGGCCAGGTTCGGGTCGTAGATCTCGAAGGTCACCTTCTCCTGCGCTGGCGCCCACACAGGACTCAGGCCATTGTCATCTGCAAGGAGGTGGGGGCTCAACAGGGCTGGTCCTGGGTGGCCCCCCCAGACCCTCCTTCCCTCTCAGGGGGGCTGTCGGCACTGGGAGAGCCGGGGAGGGGGCACTGCCAGGCCCCCTGTCCAGGACAGGCCAGGAGGTTGGGTCAGGGGAGACAGGGGTGTGGGCGCCGACTCTGTCTCTACGGGCAGCGGGCCAAGCAGGGGGGCTCTGCCCTGGGCCTGGGGGGCTGTGGAACCCCCCCTCCCCCGTTTTCACACAGAAGGAGGCAGAGCCCGGCCAGCACCCCGACCCGACCCGGGACCAGGCAGACAGTGACTTGCTTCCGGGCTGAACTGCAGCGGAAGGAAGGAGGGAGGGAAGGAAGGAAGGAAGGAAGGAAGGAAGGAAGGAAGGAAGGAAGGAAGGGAGGGAGGGAGGGAGGGAGGGAGGGAAAGAAGGGAGGAAGGAAGGAAGGAAGGAAGGAAGGAAGGAAGGAAGGGAGGGAGGGAAGGAAGGAAGGAAAGAAGGGAGGAAGGAAGGAAGGAAGGAAGGAAGGAAGGAAGGAAGGAAGGAAGGAAGGGAGGAAGGAAGGAGGGACGCGGGAAGGACTGGACGGGGTGAGACCCCAGAAGCGGGTCCCGATCCCACCCTGCGGGCGCCCGGGCACTTACTCACGACCGTCGTCTTGAACTTGTTGTTGTCGTACTCTGCGCCGCAGATCTCCACCTCCACGAAGGGGCAGGTGATGCTCCGGCCGAGCTTGGGCAGGTGGCGAGCCCCCAGGACCTGCGGAACCGAGGCCAGCGCTGGGTTCCCCAGAACCGGGGCCCTCAGACCCCACATGCCCCCTCAGACCCCAGCACCCGCCACCTTAAAGCTGAAGGTCAAAGAGGCCGAGTGCATCACGCGCGGCAGACACAGAGAACAGGAACGCCTTGCCCTCGCGATCGGCTCCCCCAGCCCCTGGCCCCCAGCCCCCTCCTTTCTGCTCCGCTCCCGGGCCGACTCCCGGCTCTGGGCTCAGGAATCCCTCCTGGGCGGCTCAGGAGCCACACGGGATGCCGGGGTCGAACCTGGGTTGCCGCAGAGGAGGCAAACGCCCTACCCATTGAACTATCTCTCTGGCCCCCGAACTTCCTCTTCTTCTCTCCCCTTTTTTACAGCGGGGCGGGGGGCCACACTGGGCCAAACAAGCCCCTCAGCCCACGGCTGGGCTCATCCCTCCTCCCGCTCGGAAAATCCACTCGCCCGCCTTCCCGAGCTCCCACAGGAGGCGAGTGAACAAAGACGTGCAACAGCACATTCCCCGGAAGCTTCCGGATCCACCCCATGGGATGCCCACGCCGGGGATGCCCCCTCCTGTCCCCAGGGGCCGTTTCCCGCCCCAGTGCTCTGCTGGGTCAGAAGCCAACCTGACACGGGGCCTGGGAGATGCGGAACAGGACGAGCCCTACACACACACACACACACACACACACGGGACAGGAGAGGTGACCAGACAGAAGGGCCGGGCCCCACCTTGACCGTGAGCGTCATCTGGATCTTCCGCTGGCTCTCGGGCAGCGCGGGCTCGTACTTCTCCGACCGCATGCTCTCGGGCTGCAGCACGTAGCCCGTCCGCCCGTTGAGGGAGAACAGGGCGTGGTTCATCTGCATGAACTTGTCTGGGGAGGGGAGGGGGGTCAGGCGGGGGGCTTCACCGAACCCGCGGGGCGACAGAGCAAGGAGGGTCTCGCCAGGCCCAGAGGGGCCCCCAGCCTGCCAGAGACATCCCTGGGGGCAGAGCGGGAGGGAGGGAAGAAGGGAGAAGGAAGGAAGGAAGGGAGGGAGGGAGGGAGGGAGGGAGGGAGGGAGGGAGGGAGGGAGGGAGGGAGGGAGAAAAGGAGGAAGGAAGGAAGGAAGGAAGGAAGGAAGGAAGGAAGGAAGGAAGGGAGGGAGGGAGGGAGGGAGGGAGAAAAGGAGGAAGGAAGGAAGGAAGGAAGGAAGGAAGGAAGGAAGGAAGGAAGGAAGGGAGGGAAGAAAAAAAGAAGGAAGGGAGGGAGGTAGGAAGGAAGGAAGGAAGGAAGGAAGGAAGGAAGGAAGGAAGGAAGGAAGGAAAGAAAAAGGGGATTAAAGATAACCCTTAGAAATGGTCTTTGCTGTGGAGGCTGGAGAGATATCAGGTAGAGTGTTTGCCTTGCACGCAGCGAACCCGGGTTCGATTCCCAGAATCCCATAGGGACCCCTAAGCACCGCCGGGAGTAACTCCTGAGTGCAGAGCCAGGAGTAACCCCTGTGCATCGCTGGGTGTGACCCAAAAAGCAAAAATAAGTAAATAAATAAATAAATGGTCTTTGCTGGGAAAAACTACGGCATTGTATCTACCGCCTTGGCTTGGGGCCGCACCCAGTGATGCTCCCGGCTCTGTCTCAGGGCCCACTGTTGACGGGCTCAGGGGACCGTGCGTTGCCCCCATACAAAGTACCCAGGCCGCTGAGCTCCGTCTGCAGCCCCCTCTATCCTTTGTAGGTTGGGGCCGCACCCAGGGACACTGAGGGGCCACCCAGCAGTGTCCGGGGCCCACGCGGCGCCCAGTATGGAGCCAGGGTCAGCCGCGGCCAGGCAGGTGCCTGCTCCCCTGTACCAGGCGATTGTGAAGACGCCAAGTGGGAAACACTTTCCAGGCAGGAAACGCGGAAGCTTAAGAAGGGCAGGAGGAGACGGGGAGGTACTGCAGGGCCGGGTGTCTGGGCTGGTGCCGCACTGAAGCCGCCCCGGTCACGGGGACGTGCCCGCTGCCTGTCTGGGCAGTGCCTGGACCCGGCCCCGGCGCTCCGCCCCCTCCCCCGGGCCGGTCGTGCCCGCCCCGCGCGCACCTGCCGTCTGGAAGTTGAGTGCCACCATCTGGGCGCCGCACAGCCAGAGGCGGAAGGGGTCGTAGTTGGACGAGTCCACGCGCTGGCCCTTGGGGTAGACGCGCGTCAGGCCCTTCTGGTTGTACCTCAGCAGGTCCACGGGCCTCTGCCGGGTCACGCTGTCGGCCTTGGTCTCCACGAAGGAGCGGATCTCTCGGAAGTCGGGGTTCTCTGCGGGGGAGGCACGTTCACCTGCCGCCCCGCGCCCCTTCCCGCCGCACGCGGGGCTGCTGGCCCGGCCCACCCTCGGGGTGCAGCGTGCCCAACGCCAGGGCCCAGCACCACGGCCCTCCCCGCGCACACCAGCACCCGTGGGGACTGAGCGTGCGGAGGGCAAGCACCCAGGGGAGCAGCAGATGCAGAGGGCGGCCCTTGGGCCCCCAGGAGGAGGCGGGAAAGTCGAGCCCAGGCTGACCCTGAGCCCCTGCACTGTGGGATTAGAAAGTCGTTCAAGAGCCCTATAAAACCCGCTCACGCCCCAGCCGTTGGGGAGGACCACGGGGGCTGCTGGACCGGGGAAGGGGGAGGCAGGGCGAGGTGTGGGGGTGGGGATGCAGTCGGGCAGGGCGCCCAGAACAAGGTGGGGGGTCCAGTCAGGCCCTGGGTTCACTACCTCCCAGCAGACAGAGTGCGGGGGCCCTGGGGGGAGCCCCACTCATCACGCAGAGACCAGCGGCCCATGGCCACGCTGAGACCAGGGGCCACGCTGAGACCAGGGGCCACTCTGAGACCACAGGCCGCTCTGAGACAGCACAGGACTTTCTCAGCTGGAGAGTCTGATCAGAGCCACTGCCGGCCTCTGTGCAGGCTTAGCAATGGCCCTGGAACCAGGTGGAGTTTACCTGGGGTCAGGTGTGTTACCTGGGGTCAGGAGTGTCATGGGGTCAGGTGCATTACCTGGGGTCAGGAGTGTCACCTGGGGTCAGGTGTGTTACCTGGGGTCAAGAGTGTCACCTGGGGTCAGGAATGTCACCTGAGATGGCCACAGTGGCTCTGCCTGAAACGGGGCGGGTTGATCTGACCCTAGACCTAACAACACATGGAACCTTCTAGAGGTGGAGCAGAGACTGGAGGACCCGGGTCACCCCAGAATGCCGGCGCTGCAGGACAGACCCCCGGACTGTGGGGCGGGCGGGGTCCCCAGCCCCGAGCCTCAGCCTGACTCCAGGTGTGGGTCTCAGCCCCCAGCGGAAATCGCTGTCTTGGGGACGTTTGCTCCTGAGGTGCAGGGGGCCCGGGGTGGGGGTGGGGGGTGCGGGGGGGCCGTGCCCGGGAGCCACGGTACCGAGGTTGTCCTTGGTCTTGCTCGTGGGCTTGCAGTAGACCACCAGGTCCGAGAGCTCGATGGCGATGGACTGGTTCTTCTCCCAGTACTTCATGCTGTTCTCCTGCGGGAGCCGCGCCTGAGTCCAGCAGCCCCTGACCCCCCTCGGCCCTCCCCTCCGCTTCCCCTCCCCCTTCCCCCTCGGCCCTGTCCTCCCCCTCCCCCCCAGCCCCCTCCCCCTCTCCCCCTCGGCCCTACCCTCCCCCTCCCCCGCCCCCTCCCTCTTGGCCCTGCCGCCTTAGCCCTGCACTCCCCTAAGCCCTGCCCCCTCCCCTCTCCCTGCCCCCCGCCCCCCCCACCCCTCAGCCCCTCCGCTTCCCACCCCAGGTCCTTTTCCTTCTTGTTCTCACTTTGTAGTTTTGGGGCCACACCCAGCAGTGCTCGGGGATCACTCCTCACGGGGTTCTGGGGGCCACGTAGGGTGCGGGAGCTTGGACCCGCTCAGCGACACACACGGCCACCGCCTGTCCCTGACCCCCGACCTCTCCCTGTTGCCCCCCCACCCCGGTTCTTTTTTTTTTTTCAGTTTTCTTTCAGGGCCCACCCAACAGCGCTCAGGGGTTCCTCCTGGCTCTGCGCCCAGGGCCCCCTCCTGGCGGTGCTCAGGGGACCCGACGAGGTGTCGGGGATTGAACCGAGTCAGCCACCAGGTCAGGACGCAGAGGCGACACTGTCCACGGAACCCGTCCCCCTCCGCCAGGGTGACCCGTCCCTGGCCTCGCCAACTGTTCATCTTGGTCCCTTGAGAGGAGGACAGTGGGGGCAGTGGTCACTCTCTGGGGGTCTTAGCGCCAGGCACCACACGCTGTCCACCAGAGAACTGGGGTGTGGTTGAAGGCTTGCCCGGTGGTGCTCAGGGCTTAGTCCTGGCTCTGCACTTGGGGAATCACTCCGCCAGTGCTCGGGGAGTCAACTGGGGGCGATTTACAAGGCAAACGCCTTCCCCACCACACCATTTCCAGAGCCGGAGCAGACTCAGTCTGTGCTTCGCAAAGAAATAGTCGTGCACGGGCCGGGCCGGGTCAAGCCAGTGGCTCTTAGTGGCTAGAGGGGGCACAGATGACCTCCTGGGTCACAGAGCCCAGCGCGAGGCCAGAGGGGAGACGGGGAGGGGTGGGATGGGCAGGGGCGTGAGCCGACTGCCTGGGGTCCTCCTGGTCCTCACATACGCTTGACTCTCCCATTTCTGTCCAGCAGAGCTCAGGGCTCTGTGCTCGGGGAGCACTTCCGGTGGGCCCAGGAGACCAGGGGGCAGGACCCCAGGCCAGTGCCCTGCCCACTGCGCTGGCTCCGGACCCCATGGTCTGGGAAGGAAGCCCTGGCAAGCACAAGGACGGCTTCCAGGACACAGAGCCACGCTCGGCCCTGCAGGGCAGGCTCTGTCCACATAGACGGGCACGAGTGGAGAGGGACTACCAGCCGCTGCTGGGAACAGCACGGTGAGGGCCCGGGAAGACGGTGTCAGACTCTGACCCGCCGACTGGACAGGTCAAGGACAGAAGGGCCTCAGCTGACCAGGGACTCCGGGCCCCCCTCTTCACGCGTGAGCACAAGAAAACAGTCTCCCTCCTGAGCCCTGGCACACACACGAGCCCACCCAGGGGGCAGATCAGGGCAGAGAAGGGCCTCGGCGTGGGCAGAACCGGCACCTCCAGCACCCTCGTGCGGGAGAACTTCCTGCACGGCAAGTCCCAGGCCCCGGAGAAAAGCAGAGACCGTAGGCCAGCACGGGAGAAGGCGCCTACGTCCCCTGCACGGAGCACAGAGCCAGGAGTAGCCTCTGAGCACTGCTGGGTGTGGCCCCAAACCCCAGCTGCCACCACCAGAGAGAGAGAGACAGAGACAGACAGACAGACAGAGACAGAGACAGAGAGAGGGGAGAAAGACAGAGAGAGGGAGAGAGACAGAAAGAAACAGAGACAGAGAGAGACAAAGACAGAGACAGAGAGCGAAGAGGCAGAGAAACAGAGACAGAGACACAGAGAGACACAGAGACAGAGAGAAAGCAAGACAGAGACAGAGAGACAGAGGAGAGACAGAGAAACAGAGACAGACACAGAGACAGAGAGGCAGAGAGGCAGAGATACAGAGAAAGAAACACAGAGAAACGGAGACAGAGACAGAGAGACAGAGAAACAGACAGAGACACAGAGATAGAGAGAGACAGAGTGAGACAGAGACAGAGAGAGAGAGAGAGAGCAAGACAGAGACAGAGAGACAGAGAGGAGAGACAGAGACACAGAGAGACACAGAGACAGGGACAGAGAGAGGTAGAGATACAGAGAAAGAAACAGAGAGAGACACACAGAGACAGAGACAGAGACGTGTCAAGCTCCAGGACAAAGCAGGTGGTGGGGGTAAGGGGGGGCTGGTCCTCATCCTGCCTGCACCCCTCGGAGCCCCAGACTTAGAGGCAACCTGGGCCCCCAGGCTCCCACTGTGGGAGCAGGGGCCGAGTGCCTCCTCACCAGTGCTCCCGTGCCAGGGACTCACGGCTCGACTGGGCGGGCAGAGAAGCCCGGAAGAGAGAGAGGACGCACCCAGAACACGGTCAGGAAACGGAAGGTTCCGATAAACCCAGGAAGGTGGCGCCTCCTTGTGCCTCAGTGAGGTACTGCACTGGCAGTCACTCCCGGAGCACCCCATCTCCCCCCCACACACACACACACAGAATGAGAAAGAGAGAGGTGGACAGGGGCTGGGAGGGGGCAACGGGGCGATCTGCTCTCACAGCACCCACACTGCAGAGGCGAACGACCACCCCAGCCTGTGAGGCCCGAGCACAGTCCGTTGGGTTTCCTGCCGTGGCCTGCGAGATCCCCGCCCCTGTTACCAGGGCTCCAGGTGGGGTCCAGGCTGCTAGTCCTGGCCCTGAGCCCACTGTGTGCCGCTGCCCCGGGCACCAGCCGTCCAGGGAGCCCCATGCCCTCCCCCTCGGGTCAGGAGCTCTGGCACGCAGCCCGTCCTGCTAACCCTGGTCTGTACCACCCGCGGTTCCAGCAACAGACCCTCAGGGAGCAACCTGCGGGACCCCCAGTCTGGGTGACACGCAGGAGTGAGCTCCCCCTCGCACTCGGGCAGCTGGAACCCGAGTGAGTGTCCTCCCCTTCCAGCCCAGGGGAGGGCGCTGGGCCTCAGCCCTCAGTGCTCGGGGCCGTTCTGCGCCAGGGCCACCAAGGCCCAGAGGGGCATGTGACGGGCCCCAGGCCAGCGCAGCTGCCCTGTTCCTCAGCCCAAAGCGGGTCCAGCCAAACGCCCTCAGACACGCCCCGCCCCTGCCCCAGAGCCCGAGTCCACTCGAAAAACTCCCCCGGGAAAATATGGGAAACGCATCCCCGATGAGCAGATGCCCAGGGCCGGACAGGAGGGACGCTGCAGGGGGCCGGACCCGCTGGTCAGGACACGGGGGCTGGGAGATGGGGAGATGCCGCCCACCCTCACCCGCACTGCCCGACACCCCCCCCTCGACGGCCACCCGCCCACAGCGCCCACCTTGGCGTCCATCTTCCAGGTGATCTCACGGACACTCTGAAACCACTCGAACAGCTCCTCCACGCGGTCCGTCGCGAACTCCACGGGGGGGTCTCCCTGCTTCTTGGGCTCCAGGATGAAGACGAACGGCTTCTGGTTCTTGCCCTGGGGGGCTTTCACTAAAGCGAGACGCGGGAGTGAGCCTCCCCAAGGGCCCCCAGAGCAGCCTTCGGCCCTGGCACCCCGGGCCCCACCGCAGTGCCCTGAGCCCCACCCACGGCCCCCCGCCCCTCACCCACCTCTGCTGGGCGCCAGGCTGTGGGCACGGCCAGCCGTCCCGTGGGGGACAGTTTCCCGCCATTCAGAGGCACGGACCCGGCTCCCACCTCCCTACCCCCGCTGCGTGGCGAGCCTGGTGTTGGCCCTGGACGGGAGACCCTCACGCCCCCACAGGGCAGGGCCGAGCAGGAGGGTCACGCGAGGAGCTGGCCCAGCTGACCGAGGCATCATGCCCAAGAGAAAGGCCCGTGTCCCCCTCCTGCCACCAGCCACAAGGCCCCGCTGCTAAAGGCAGCCCAAGGTCCTGGGTAGCCTTGCCCACCCCTGCTGACCCGTGTATGCCTGGCCAGGCCTCTGCAGCCCCTGCCCCATGGGGCAACCACAGTCCCCGGCCAAGGGACACGCCTGGGCTTGCAGAGACCATGCTGCACACGGGGCAAGAACCCGGCCAGGAGCTCGGCCCCATGGGGTGGGGTGCACAGGGCACCAGGCCGGCCGCTGGCAGGGCCGGGAAGACCTGACCCCAGACCCAGACGGGCAGAGTGAAACGCAGACGAGAACCACCGGCCCGACACCGTGTGGCCGAGCGGCCGGACCCGACACGCACCTACGTTATAGGTGTTGAGGTCCAGGATGCCCCGGCAGAGAGAGCCCAAGGGGTTGTCTTCGATGATCTGCAGAGAAACAGACGGGCCCCCCCGTGAGTCCTGACGGGGAGCGGCTCAGGTGCGCTTCCCTCCTGGGCCCGTCCACGGGCAGAGAACAGAGTCAGAAGCAGGGGCTGGGGCCAAGGTGGGCGGCAGGCGCCTGGGTCCGGGCTGTGAATTCCGGAGCAAAACCCCTCCAGGACCCGAGAGGGCCCAGGGCTGAGGGCAGGCTCCTTGTGGCTGACCCCTGCCCCCATGTGGTGCCCAGCACCAGGGCGAAGACCCCCGAGCTCTGAGCATCCCCAGGTGTGGCCAAAGTACTGGAAGGAAAATCCATCCCAGACGCTTCCCGCAGATGCCTCAGTGCCAGGTTGCTCCGGAGACGCTTCTGGGGTTAGGGATGGAGACATGCCAGGCTCCCCGGGGCCCCGGGTCTGACCCTGCCCCCCCTGCCCCCCCTGAGCAGCAACAAGGGGGGGTCATCACAGGCAACACCCACCCCCACCACCTGCTTTCCAGGCCCTGTCGGATGCAGGCTCCTGCCGACCACAGGGTGGGCTGTGAAGACCACCACAACCAGGAGTGCCTGCTGCAGGCCGGGTGTGCCTGACACGCGCACCTCGGGCCACCCCTGCTGCTGGGCACTATGATGGGTGCTCCCAAGCAGTGCTCAGGATCCCGGCACTTCTCTGCCAACTAGGCCACTGGTTCGACACCAGGGCCTGCGGCTGCAGTGCTGCTGGGAATTCCCTGGACCATCCTGGAGGTGGTGGGGTTCCCCAGGGCAAGCCCCCTAAGCACTATGTTCTCTCCCAACCCGCTAACTTGACTTCCAGGATGCCAGGCCCTTTCTTCTGTGCAGCCTTCCCAGACTGCCACTTCTGCCTTGAGAGAATTCCTTGGTTTTGAGCAGGACCTGAGCATGCAAGGGAGTGGGCAGGGGGTTTTGGGGGGGGGGGGGTCACTGCGCCCCTGCCTGAGATGCAGGAGCAGGGAGCCAGGGGCAGGCGGCACTCACCTGCTTCTCCATCTCCTCCACGTCAGCAGTCGAAATGTCCTCGACGTAGTTGGAGGGGAAGTACTGCTGGACCCGGGTGCCGTAGTCGCCTTTCCACCTGGGGGCAGCGGGCGTCAGCAGGCGGCCGGCCCCGGGGCAGGAGGGGCGGCGTGGGCACGGGGTGCACTGGCGGTTTCTGTCCACCAGCAGTGGCAGCCAGGGGCAGGGCCGTGACCCCAGCATCAGACCGACGCCCCCACGGGGTTCCTGGCCAGGCTCCCGACCAGCCACGCAGGCCCCTGCCCACTCCCTGCCAGGGACATGTGGGCAGTCGGAGTCCCTCCGGCATGGGGTGACAGCCCTCCGCGGGGCTGGCTCCTGTCACTCCCACAGGGCCTGGTGCCTTTTCCCGCCAGTCAGGCTGGGCCCCTCCTCTGCTGGTGTCTCCTCACCATGCCAGGCACCCCCCAACTCACCCCCAAGTCCAAGCCCTGGAGTCAGACTGTGACTGTGAGTGACTGTGATTGTGTGTCTGTATGTGGCTGTGACTACATGTGACTGTGTGTGACTGTATGTGACTGTGTATGACTGTGACTGTCTGGCTGTATGTGACTGCGTGACTGTGACTGTGTGACTGTGTGGCTGTGATTGTGACTGACTGTATGTGACTGTGATTGTGACTGTGTGTGATTATGTGGCTGTATGTGACTGCGTAAACTGTGGTTGTGATTGTGTGCTGTGACTGTATATGACTATGACTGTGTGTGATTGTGTAAAAGTGTGAATGTGACTGTGTGAGTGTGACTGACTATGTGTGACTGTGACTGACTGTGACTGTGGCTGTGTATGTGACTAACTGACTGTTACTCTGTGTTTGTGACTGTGACTGTGACTCACTGTGACTGTGACTGTGCAAAAGTGTGGCTGTGACTGTGTGACTGTATACGACTGTGTGACTGACTGTGATTGTGATGGTATGGCTAAGGCTGTGTGTGGTTGTAACTGACTGGCTGTGTGTGTGACTGTGACTGTGTAAAGGTGTGACTGACTGTGTGACTGTGTGACTGACTGTGTGACTGAGGGACTGTGGCTATGGCTGTGACTAGAGGTGACTGCGTGACTGTGATTGTGACTGACTGTGACTATATATGACTGCATGACTTTATGTGACTGTGTGACTGACAGTGATTGCAACTGTGTGACTGTGTAACTGTATGTGACGGTGTGACTGTGATTATGACTGTGTGACTGTGACTGCCTGTGAGAGCTGTGTGGGCTGCCCGAGACGCGTGTCACCTCTCTCGTCCAGGAGGTGCCCCTGGTCAATGCGGGCAGGGTCAGGAAGGGCAGGGGGCGCCGCGTCGGCTTCTTACCAGCCCCCCGCCTCCTTGGAGACGTTGTGGATGAGGGCGCCCCGGCAGAAGCTCAGCTCGTCGGCCTGCTTGGCCTTGTAGTCGTACAGAGCCTTCACCGTCCTCTGGGGCTTTCGGGAAACGGAAAGCGACGGTCAGGGGGGGCCGGCGGCACCACCTACTGGCCAGGGCACAGCACTGCCAGGAGCTGCAGCCCCAGTCCATACTTGGGGCCCTAGGGACTGAGGTCCCCAACACAGGCCCGCAGGACGCCCCCATCTAGTACAGCCCAGACGCCCCCTCTCCCTACAGAGGCACCAGCCAGTGCTCCCACTTCAACACCTTCAAACCCAGATGCGCCCTGGCCCCGCAAAGGAGACGGGAGGTGACCAGGAAGCAGACCTCTCCTCTGGGCACCTGACGGCTGCACACAGGTGTCTGCTCTGCCTCAGTTTCCCCCTCAGTGACATGGGAGTCATAGCTACTACAGAGGAGATGGTGGACCACAACTCAACGTGGGCAGGCAGCATTTCCTGTGTTACCACGTCTGGGCCAGAGAGCTCAGGAAGGATCTAGAAATCACGGGGTCTGGGCACCGCTATCAACAAGGAAGGGTCATAAGACAGGAGCCCACGGCGGTTGCCCGAGCTCAGGACTCTGGCCAGGCAGGCCACCTCGGGATGGGACCCGGTGACCTTCCCTCCAGAACCAGAGCTCACTGTCAACCATTTCTTCTCAAAAAACTAAAACAGAATTGGGGCAGCCCAGGAGAGCTCCGGTGGGAGTCTGTCACCCCGCAAACACAAGGCCCCGGGCTGGCAGTGGCCCGGGCTGCACACGACCAGACAGCACAGCTGGCCAGGGCTCATGGGAAGCCCTGAGCACTGCCCGAGGCCAGCACAGGACAGTGAGGTCAGGTGGACGTTGCCCGCCATGGGGCAGGGCATGGGGCGGGGGGAGGCCGGGCCTTCGGGGACATCGTACCATGGAGGGGTTGATCTCGCTGGGGTCCACGTACATTCTGCTGACATCGTAGAGGGAGTTGATGTCTCTTTCCTGAGGAAGAACAGAGAGTGACCAATGGCCAGGCTATCTGGACTCCTCTGAGAACCAGGGGTCCGGGTGCTGGGACTCAGAAACAGAGGAGAGAGCCCACCGCCTGGCAAAGTATCTGCACACACGGAGGCTTCATCCCCAAACAAATGGGGCTCCTCCCAGCTGAGCTCGGCGGGAAGCCCAGACCAGAGGGACACAAGCACCTCGCTCAACCTGCGACAGCACCAGGTCAGGCACCACAGTCAGGGCCAGCAGGGGGCAGCACCCTCAGCCCTCTGAGTGATGCCGGGCAGATTCCAGGGCAAAACACACCCCAGCGAATCACAGAGTCTCCAGGGCCGGAGCGGAAAGAGGGCAATCGGATGGAGTCAGAGGCTGTCAGCTCAGATGACGCCGTGTCTGAACCCCCATCCTTACCTATCTCTCACCCCCGCCCCCCCCCCCCCCCCACACACACACGTACCTGCCCCAGCACCAGCTTCTACATGCCTCCGGGTCTGCAATCCCGGTCACCCCAGGCCCTTTGCACACACGGCCTTTCCCCACCCCCACAACGCCACGACTCCCTCAAGTCACCGTTTCTCTCTCCACTCTCCACTGCCTCCCTCCGCAGTTCTCGGGCCCCCTGACGCCCGCCGGAGGTCAGAGCCTGGACTGGGGTCGCTGCTGCCGCCCCCGCGGGGGACGAGGCGGGAGCTGAGGAGCGGGGCGGCGGGGAGGCAAGGGTGCGCGAGCCGGGCGCCTACCATGTTGTAGCGCTCCAGCAGCTCGGGGGTGACGGGGGTAGCGCAGTTTCATCTTCCGGTAGAGCGCGTGCTTCTCGTAGTAGCTCACCAGCTCCACCAGGCTCTCGAAGTAGGCCGAGGTGCCCAGCACCAGGTGCCGGCCGTCCCGGTTGATGCGACAGTGCTTCACCTTGCCCTTGGCCCTGCGGGGAAGGAGCGCACGGGGTGGGCACGCGGGGGTCCCGGCACCCAGGCCAGGGCCTCGGGAAGCCCCGCGCTGTCCTTCGGGACAGCCTGTGGGAGACGAGTGGGAGGCAGCGGCCTGTGGGGCCCAGCGCTTCCCAACGTCACGTCACTCTCACGACACTGTAACGGCGACAAGGGAGAAGGCACCGACCAGGACAGAGCCCAGGTGGGGCCCAGCGGGAGGAACTGAGCAGACGTGTCTATGTGGGTTTACCCTGGGATCCGTGTCCTCCACCATCAGAGATGTGCGGTGTCAGCATTACAGTGTGTGTGGTGTGTGCACGTGTGTACACGTGTCTGGGTACACGTGTGTGCATGTGTGCATGTGTGTGCATGTACATATGTGTGTGTCATGTGCTCCGTGACGGAACCAAATGGAGCAGGTAAGTGGCCTGGAAAACGAATGGATTCAAATGGCGGTTCCGTGTTAAAAGGTTTTGGGTCTTTACATGGAAAGTATCATGCTGAGCGAAATGAGTCAGAAAGAGCGGGATAGACACAGAAAGATTGCATTCATCTGGGGGACATGTAGTAACAAAATGGGAGACTAACACCCAGGAGTGGCCGAGATTAGTACCAGGAATTTTGCTCCATGGGTTGGAGGCCAGCCACACATGCTAGGAGGGAAGGGAGCTCAGATAGAGAAGGGAGCACCAAAGAAAGGGTGTTGGGAGGATCCTCCCAGGGTGCGAGAAGCATGCTGAAAGTAGACTATAGACCAAACATGATTGCCACTCAATTCCTCTTTTGGAAAACAACAGCACCCAAAAGGAGAGATAGAACAAAAGGGAGTGTCCTGTCACAGAGGCAGGGTGGGATGGGGGGCTGGGGGGTGGGAGGGATGCTGGGACCCGTGGTGGTGGAGGATGGGCACTGGTGGAAGGATGGGTATTTGCTCATTATATAATTGAAACCCAAGCACAAAAATTTGTAAGTCTGCTGATGACCACAGTTTTGCTGACTGCTGAGCTAGAGAGACCTTGACTCAGAACCACGAAGCTAGCCCACTCTCAAATTCTTGACCCTCCAAAACTATGTGACAGAATAAATGTTTGTTGTCTTAAAAAAAAAATAATTTGTAAGTCTACAACTGGACCTCATGGTGTTTCACTAATAAAAAATAAATAAATAAAAATAAATAAATAAATAAAAGGTTTTGGGTCCTGATTAGGAAGTCTGGTGATGCTGCGAACTTAACTCTCATGGGCCAGCAGCTCACGAGGCAACGGCTGTTAGGAATCATCCTGCTGGAACGTGACTTCCCCAGACTCTCCAGGGGACGCGGGATGAGGCTCAGAGCACCGCGAGGGCTCCACACACGACCCTTTCACCCTCTCTCTCCCCTCTGACCACAGGGCCGGCTCGGGGGAGGCCAGCCAAGTCTGGCCCACCACCTGTTTTTGTAAGTACATTTCTACCGAAACCCAGTAACGTTCACTCGTGGCTGTACTGCACATGACCGCTCTCCTATGGCACCACTGCTACGGCAGTGTGACGGGGTACGGAGCCTCTGCAGGAGAATCCTCACCCTCTCTGGTCCTTTGCAGAAAATGCCTCGGCTGCAGTCCTGGGGGGTTGTGCCCAGACCCCTGATCATCTTCAATGATCCCACCAGTCTAACAATAGAATTCCCCCCTCCCCAAAAAATGAGGACATATCTATTCTGTCCTCATCTGTTTCAAACAAGAGGCGGAACAATCCAAACTGGAACAGACTTCTCCCCTGACTGGCCTTTACCAGTAAGAACAGAAACATCGGAGGGAGAGAACGTCCAACCTCGGGGCCGGAGCAATACCAGAGTGGGGAGGGCATGTTTGCCTTGCACGTAGAAGACCCCGGTTCGATTCCCAGCATCCCATAGGGTCCCCCGAGAACTGCCAGGCATGATTCCTGAGTTGAGAGCCAGGAGTCACCCCTGTGCATCGCCGGGTGTGATCCAAAAGAAAAAAAAAAAGAGGTTCCAACCTTAACTTGAGAGCCAAGAACTGTCTGCAGGCATGGGGGGTCTAGCCGACCGGTCCCAGGGGCCAGAGAGAGAGCCCAGTGGCCGAGCCCACACCAGGAGCCCACTTTCATGCCCAGCACTGCCCGGCCCCCGGCACAGGGTTGGCAGCCTCCAGCCTGGCAGGTGTGGGCCCAGAGCCAAGACCAACAGGCTGCACTTCAGACTCTCACGGCTCCTTGAAGCCCCTCCTGCTCGGCCCCGTGGAAACAGATGCTGGCAAAGTCTGCCGTGGTCGCCTCTTTGCAGCAGTATTTCATTAAATTAAATATTTACGTTTTAAAAACACTGCTGAGTAGAAACACAGGTTGAGAAAGAAAGACACTGGATCACGCCCCATCTGTGTTTCACAAAAACAGGACAGAGCACACACGTGCCCTCTCCTGCCGGGAGCCAACACACACAGCTCGGGTCCGAAGCCTGGGAGACACCTACCACTCCCGGCCAGAGAAGTAGGACCCCCGCGACCCTCACCACAGTGCCTTAGTGAAGGCAGTAAACGGACAGGGTTGGGGAGCGGGCCGCTTGCTGTGTCGAGCCTCAGGGCACCAGTCAGCTTTCGGCTCCTTCTGCCTCAGTTTCCCCACCCCCGGCGCTAAGGTTTGCAGCTTCTCTCCCAGGGAATTCACCCAGGGGGACCCCTGAGCCGGGTGTGGGTGCCCTGGGGCTAGATACACCCAAGCACAGGCGGGCGCAGGGCCTGGGACCCCTCCCCAGAGCACAGACAGGCACAGGGCCCGAGACCCCTACCGGGGCACAGGCGGGCGCAGGGCCCAAGACCCCTCCCCAGGATACAGGAGGACACAGGCCCTGGGACCCCTCCCCTGGACACAGACGGGCGCAGGCTCTGGGACCCCCTCCTCGGGGCACAGGCAGGCACAGGGCCCGAGACCCCTCCCCAGGATACAGGAGGACACAGGCCCCGGGGCCCCTCCCCTGGACACAGACGGGCGCAGGCTCTGGGACCCCCTCCTCGGGGCACAGGCAGGCACAGGGCCCGAGACCCCTCCCCAGGATACAGGAGGACACAGGCCCCGGGGCCCCTCCCCTGGACACAGACGGGCGCAGGCTCTGGGACCCCCTCCTCGGGGCACAGGCAGGCACAGGGCCCGAGACCCCTCCCCAGGATACAGGAGGACACAGGCCCTGGGACCCCTCCCCTGGACACAGACGGGCGCAGGCTCTGGGACCCCTCCTCGGGGCACAGGCAGGCGCAGGGCCCGAGACCCCTCCCCAGGATACAGGAGGACACAGGCCCCGGGGCCCCTCCCCCGGACACAGGCGGGCGCGGGGGTCCCACCTGAAGGTGATGGCGTAGGAGTCGGTGCCCTCCCGCCGGCGGATGAGGAAGGCGCCGTCCCGGGGCACCCGCATCAGCATGTCCTCGGCCTCCCCGCGGCTCAGCCCGTCGTAGTACCACCTGCGGGGGAGCGCGGGACGCGGGGGTGACGGGCTGACCGCGGTGACCGGCCCGGGGGAGCCCCGGCCCGGCCCGCCCAGAGCGCCTTTCACAGCCGACTTCGCAAGCCAGGGAGCACCCACGGGCGGAGGCAGGGAGAGCCGTGGGGGCGGGGCGGAGCGGAGGGGCGGGGTGAGGGCGCTAAGGGGAGGGGGAGAGGCGCAGAGGGGCGGGGCTAGGTGCAGGTGGGCGGGGCTAGGCACGGAGGGGCGGGGCTAGACGCATAGGAGCCAGGCTAGGCGCAGAGGGGCGGGGCTAAGCGCAGAGGGGCGGGGTTAGGCGCAGAGGGGCGGGGCTAGGCGCGGAGGGGCGGGGCTAGGGGCAGATGGGGCAGGACTAAGCGCAGAGGAGCAGGGCTAGGCACAGAAGGGCGGGGCTAGGCGGAGAGGGGAAGGGCTCGTCGCGGAGGGGCGGGGCTAGGCCCAGGGGGCGGGGCTTGGTGCAGGGGGCGGGGCTAGGCGCAGAGGGGCAAAGCTAGGGGCGGAGGGGCGGGGTAGGGAGGATGGGGCAGGGAGAGGGGCGTAGGGGAGGGGCGGAGCGGAGAGAGTGGGGCAAGGGGCAGAAGGGGCTTAGGGAGGTAGAGTGGCGTGGTGAGGGGCAGAGGAGGTGGAGAGAGGGGCGGGGCGAGAGGCTATGAGCAAAGGGGCGGGACTCTGCGCGGAGGGGCGGGGCTAGATGCAGAGGGGCAGAGCTGGGGCGGAGGGGCGGGGCAGGGCGTATGGGGCAGGGAGAGGGGCGGAGGGGAGGGGCGGAGTGGAGAGGGCAGAGGGGGGGCAGAAGGGGCGTAGGGAGGTAAAGTGGCGTGGTGAGGGGCAGAGGAGGTGGAGAGAGGGGCGGGGCGAGAGGCTGAGCAAAGGGGCGGGGCTCGGCGCGGAGTGGCGGGACTAGGTGGATAGGGGCGGGGCTTGGTGGAGATGGGCGGGGCTAGGGGTGGAGGGGCGGGGCAAGGAGGATGGGGCAGGGAGAGGAGGGGAGGGGCGGAGCGGAGAGGGCGGGGCAAGGGGCAGAAGGGGCGTAGGGAGGTAGAGTGGCGTGGTGAGGGGCAGAGGAGGTGGAGAGAGGGGCGGGGCGAGAGGCTATGAGCAAAGGGGCGGGGCTCGGCACGGAAGGGCGAGGCTACGTGGGGGGGACTTGCGGGGGTGCACGCGGGGGCGGGGCTAGGCGCGGAGGGGCGGGGCTAGGCGGGAAGGGGCGGTGCTAGGCGCAGGGGGGCAGCGCTAGGCGCGACGGGGCGGGGAGGGGCGCCAGGGGCCACCTACGGCTTCGACTCGTGGGGGTTGGGGTTGGGCACGGGGTCGGTGAGCCGCAGCTCGAACTCGGCGCAGCGCAGGTGGGTCTCGCGGTAGTGCTGGATGAGGGCATAGATGCTGGTGAACATGAGGTTGTCCGTCAGGTAGTACTTTGTGGTCCCGCCGTCCATGGTGGAACGGATCCGGCAGTGCTGGACGCGGCCCGACCGCCTGCAGGAGGGGACGAGGGCGTGGGGACCAGGCCGCGGCCCCCGCACCCAGGGGTCCGCGGCCACCAGCCAGGCTAGCGCTGCGGGCGGACACCCCGTGAGCCCACCCAGACCTGCCTCTGCTCTTAGAACAGGCCAGAGTCCGAGCCAGGCTGCTCCTCCGCCGGGTTCCAGGACATTCCACCTGCTTCCCCCACCCACAGCCCCCTCTTCCCCACAGAACCCCTCCCCCGGACCCAGGCAGCTGGGTTGCAGTCCTGACTCAGACACCTGTCCCCTGGGGCCCTGGGCTTCCCTCGAGGACAAGGAGAGCAGCTGGGATGGCCTGGAGGAGCGCCCAGAGCTGGCCGGTCACTGTAGGCCCCTGCCTCGGGCCTCCCGGAAACCTGCTCCCAGAAAGTTCCTCCGGGCCTCCCAGACGGCCCTCGGCAGCTCTCCACACCGACGCTCCTCATTGCGGCCATCCCGGCCATCAGGGATGGAGGTCATTAAGGGGCCGGGAAGGTCATTCCCACGGTGACTTGTTAAGTATCCATCTGCCCAGCCCATGAGAGCAGAGACCCTGTCTGCCCACCGGGCATCACGAGCCCCCAGAGCCAGCGCCCAGGATCCTACCCAGAGAACAACTGAGTGAGTGAACGGTGGGTGTGTGAGTGAGCTGCTGGGTGGGTGAGTGATTTGAGTGGGTGGGTGCGTAAGCCAGTGAGTAGCTGATTGAGTGGGTGGGTGGGTGAACGAGCAGGTGACTGAGTGGGTGGGTGACTAGACCATGTGCTCATGCTCACAACACCTCCCCAGGCCACCTGTGGAATCCCAAGAGGGTCCCGGGTGGCTGAGTGAGCTGCCCGGGGTCACAGGTCACGCCCCCCCGTTCAGGCGCAGGGTGAAGTCTGGGGCTCTGGTTCAGGCCTGCCAGTGTCCGGCCTCGGCTCTGCCCTGTGGCTGGCGCGGGGGCTTTACCAGAAGGACAGGGTGTAGTCGTTGGGGAAGGTCTCGCTCTCCCGGACCAGGAAGGTGCCGTCCTTGCCCCCGGTCTCGGCGCAGTACTCCTGCAGCAGCTTCTCGGCGCTCGTCCTCTTCTCCACCTTCTTGTGAAACCACTTCTCCCCAAAGTGCAGTTCCGTGGGGGGTGTATCCTGGGCGCCGCAGAGAGAACACGGGGGTCTCGCCCGCGATCCCCAGGGGACAGGGCAGGAAAGTGGGGAAGCGTCAAATGCCCAGCCCTCCAGAGAGCGGGAAAGAAACTCGAACCTCATTGGCCAAGCCCCTGGACCAGCCAACCAATCAGGGAAAAGCCTGCCTGGCCTTGGTACCCAGGAGCAGCTGGAGGTTGTGGGGCGGCAGGGGGTATTGCCTACCTGGGCCGGCTCCTCCTCCCCGGTCTGCTCAATGTCATCGCTGAAGGACAGCTTGGCGTCGGCAATGGCGCAGTAGTGCCGAGTCCATTTCTAGAAAGCAAAGTGGCATGAGCTCTGCCCCAGAGACCCTGCCCGGGATAACCCAGAGTTCACCGAGTTCACAGGCGTTACTAAGACTGTCCCCAAATCCACATAGCCCCATGGACAGAGACACAGACAGATGGGTGCACGCACACACACACACACACACACACACGCGCGCGCACACACTTTAGTGTAAGCATGTGGGTTCTTTGGAGTCTTTAAGGCTTTTCTAACTGGCAGGTCTGATCAGATGTCTGTGGTGTGTTTCCTAATATCCAGCCTCTGGAGAGTGGCGGGATCCTTGTGGGCTCTCACGCCTATCTTTTTTGTTTGTGTGTTTCATTCTCCAAGACTTTCAGGATTTCTGTTTGTCAAGAAGAAACCCTTTCATCGCCATCCGTGACTTCTTCTTCTACTTAACCCTCGGTCACGTGCCAGTGATCACTAGGACACAGAACAGGATGTGATCTACCGCCCAACGCATCTGCAGCTTCAGTGCAGATCTACGAAGAGTGAGGGGTAGTGATTCCGAGCAGAGGGCTTCTTGGGACGACTGAAACCAGGGGTGTGTGTGTGTGTGCGCGTGGGCACGTGTGCACGTGTGCATGTGTACACGTGTATGCGTGTGCGTGTGTCCATGTGTTTGTGTGTGCATGTGTGCATGTACACGTGTGTGCATGTGTGTGCATGTATGTCCATGTGTGTTGGGGTGTGCGCGTGTGGGTGTGCGCATGTACACATGTGTGCGTGTGTGCATGTATGTCCATGTGTGCACGCATGTACACGTGTGTGCATGTGTGTGCATGTATGTCCATTGTGTGTGCATGTGCATGTACACGTGTGTGCATGTGTGTGCGTGTGTGTCCATGTGTGTGGGTGTGTGCACGTGTGGGTGTGCGCATGTACACGTGTGTGCATGTATGTGCATGCATGTCCATTGTGCGCACATGTACACGTGTGTGCATGCGTGTGCATGTATGTCCATTGTGTGCGTCATGTGCATGTACACGTGTGTGCATGTGTGTCCATGTGTGTGGGTGTGTGCGCGTGTGGGTGTGCGCGTGTACACGTGTGTGCATGTGTGCATGCATGTACGCATGTGTGCGTGTGTGTGCGTGTATGTCCATTGTGTGCGTGCATGTGCATGTACACGTGTGTGCGTGTGTGTGCATGTGTGTCCACGTGTGTGGGTGTGTGCACGTGTGTGTGCATGTGTGCGTGTATGTGTGTGCATGTGTGTCCATGTGGGGGGGGTGTGCACGGGAACAGAGAGAGCACTGAGCAGGGGCTCTGGCGCCAACCCGCTCCTGTCCCCGAGCCGCGGGCGCACCTGGTCGATGGGGTCCCACATGTACAACTCGCCCTGCTGCTTGTGTTCCTCCTTCTTGTCCTCCATGTTGACGTCCACGTCGCCGCGGGGGCCCAGCTTCTTGTGCTGAGGGGAGAGACACGCCCGGGTTCCCAGATCCAGGCCTGCGGGGGCCAGCACGGCGCCCCCTGCTCCCCGGAGCCTCCCCAGGGCAGCCGCCCTGACCCGGCCATCCTGCACCCCTGGAGCACAGAGCGGGAGACAGTCTTCTCCAGCTCCCAAAGCCCGGACGGCTGGGCCCTTGCTCCGTCCCTCCCCGTGACTGCTGGCCCGGTACTGGCTCAGAACACCCGGGCGAGGACGCAGGGGAGAGCCCGGAGAGTCAGCCTCGGCCTGCAGCCTCGGCGGGCAGGCTGTGCCAGGCCCCGGTGCCCCTGTGCTCTGCTCCCCTGAGCACTGTGGCCCCAGGCAGGTGCGTCTCAGCTCACTGCAATCATGGTCCCGCGCCCCTCGCCAGGCCCCTGGTTCTGGTGGCCACCGGCGGGCGCCCTGTCAGAGGAGGTGCCGGGCCCCACCTTGATGATGATCTTCTCCCGCAGCTGGCTGGGCGAGGGCAGCTGGTCAGCGCTGGCCTCCGTGGGCTTGGTCAGCAGCAGGTCGCCCAGCACCTCCTTGAACACCCGGGCCATGTAGCGCTGCTGCTCCACACTACAGTGCTCCTCGATGGACAGGATCACGGGGAAGCTGCCGGGGGTGGGAGGCAGCTCAGCAGGGGGCGGCTGCAGGCTGGGGACCCCCGGTGCCTCCTGACCGGGGGCCGGGACCCCGTGTGTGCCTGTCCACAGGCAGTGCAGCAGGTGGCAGGGTCCCGGGGCTGCCCCAGGCTCCCGCTCCTCCTCCTCTGGGAGCCAGAGCCACTGGCACTTCCAGCCTGCAGGGGGCGCCAACACCCAGCAGACACTAAGGTGTGTGCGTGCGCGCGCATGTGTGTGTGTGTGTGTGTGTGTGTGTGTGTCCTATACTCAGCTGAAGACAAGGCTATGACAGGCTCAGGGGCAGAATAGGGAAGAATGTGAGTGTATGGATGTGTGCGGGGTGGGGTGTGGGTGGGGTGGGTGTTTAGGTATAGGGCTGTATGGTTGTGGGGGTGTGGGTGTATGGTTGTATGGGTGTTCGGGTGTGCAGGGTGTGGGCTGTGGGGGCAGGTGGCCGCTCAGCCCACACCCAAGCGCTCCTCCTATATGTATGTGTGTGGGTGGGTGGGTGTGGCTATGTCTGGGGGTGTATATACAGTTGTACGTTGGGTGGTTGTGTGTATGGGGGTGTGTGTGTGTATGGATGTGTGTATGGTTTTATGTGGGGGCTGGTGTGTGTATATGAGTGTGTGGGTGCGTGTGTGTGTGTGTGTTTGTGGGTGTGTGCATGGGTGTATGGGTGTGTGTACGGGTGTGTATATGGGAGTATGTACAGGTGTGTGGGTGTATGTATGGGTGTGTATGGGTGTGTGTGGCTATGTGTGTGGGTGTTATGGTTGTATGTGGGGGTTGTGTGTGGGGGTGTGTGTATAACTGCGTGTACAGGTGTGTGTGTGTGTCTATGTGTGTGTGTGTACGGTTGTAAGTGGAGGTTGTTGTATATGGGTGTGTGTGACTGTGTATGGGGGGGCGCGTGCGCTCACCCCTCCCTGCGCGTGTCCCTCTGGCGTCCCGCGGCCCCGCACACCTGGAGGTGACGAAGGCGTGGTCCCTGATGGCCTGCACGACGTCGTCAAACTTGATCTTGGTGGTGCGGGTCCAGCCGTGGTAGATGATGGGCTTCCCGTCGGGGCCGTCCCAGCAGTCCACTGTGGGGACAGCGGCAGCCTCGAGTCCGTCCCTCAGGTTCCTCCTCACCAGCCGCCGGGGCCACTGCTTAGCCGACGGCTCCGGAGTCGGCCGGGCTCCCCCCGCCCGTGCCAGCTGCGCCCGGCCATCTCTCCTGGGGAACTCAGGACCGGGGGCCCCCAGCAGTCCTCCCCAATCAGGGCTGAGGCGGAGGAGCTGCCTGGCCCCCAGGTGCTGGGGCCGGGCAGGGGACGGCTCCAGGCTGCCGGCCTGGCGCAGGGGCCACGTGTGTCAAGGACGGAACCAGGCCGGCCACGCCCTGTGCCCAGGAGACCACGGCACGTCCTCGCGCCCGGGATGGACAGAGAGAGCAGAAAGAAGCGCCATAAAGATCTGAGCAAAGGTCGGCAGGAGACACAGACGATGTGGGGGCCCGGCGTGGGCCGGGGGCCACTCACGCTCGATGCAGCGGCAGCCCAGGCGCAGGCAGCGGACGTAGGCTTCCGTGGACGACTCGCTCCGCAGCTGGTCCCCTGTGAGGTACCTGGGGGCAGGCGGCAGCTCAGCCCACACCCAAGCGCTCGTCCTCCTCCTCCTCCTCCTCTTCCTCCTCCTCCTCCTCCTCCTCCTCCTCCTCCTCTTCTTCCTCCTCCTCCTCCTCCTCCTCCTCCTCCTCCTCCTCCCCAAAGACCTGAGCTCAGCACGGGGAGGCGACCACCGCAGGGCCCGCGAGCGTCCCGCAGAGGGACCTCGGACAGGGGCTCGGGCAAGAGGTCCCACCCGCCCGGCCTCCACTGGGCAGAGCTGGGTCCACACGGACCAACAGCCCCGAGGGCTCACGAGGTGGCCGCCGTGTCCACCAGCACGGTCCGAGGCGGTTTCCGTGCCCTGTCCCTGGGCAGGCAGGGGGTGAGGTCCCCGTGCTCAGAGTCAGCCCCTGATGCAGGCCTGGGGGCCACACGGGGAGCAGACCCGGGACCTCGCGTGTGTCAGGACGCATTCTGCCCTGGGGATGGGCACCCCCTCACGTGCCTCAGACGGGCCCAACCCCCCTTCCCAGAGGCCCAGATGGGCGACAGCTTCACCTACTCGCCACAACAAAAAGATTCTTGCTGTGACACCAGCGGGGGGGCGCGGGGGGGGGGGCGCAGTCCCCATCCAGAAGCTCCCAGGGGCCAGAGAGGTAGTACAGTGGGTAGCGCGCTCGCTTGCCTTGTGTGTGGTGAGCCCACGTCCAACCCCGGGGACCCGGTATGGCGCCCAGAGTCCCCACAGGAGGGATTCCTGGGCACTGAACCCGGAGTCAGCCCTGGGCACTGCGGGGTGTGGGCCCCCCCCCCCCCACCCATCAGGAAACAAAACTCAAACAAAAGCTTCTCTCTGTGGGATCTGAGCAGCCGGGCCCGCCCACACCCTGGGCCCCTGTGGGCAGCGCTGCCCGCAACCCAGGGACACTCACGTGTTGTGTGACGAGGAGATCCAGTAGTGTGACAGCGGGTTGTTCATCTCCTGCATGTCCACCGCACTGTGCTTCTCGTCCCAGATGCTGTTCTCCCGCGAGAACAGGTAGGTCAGGAACTAGGCGGGAGACACAGAGACGGCTCGCCCGGCCCGCCCGCCCTCCCTCCTCGGCGCCCGTCCAGGCCCCGGGAAGCTCCGGTCAGACAGAAAGTCAGGCGGCCACAGGCGTGTGGCCAGGGTGCTCCCAGAACACCAGGGGCTTGGGGAGTCTGGGTGATCAGGGCTTACTCCCAGCTCAGTGCTCAGGGATCACTCCCAGCTCTGTGCTCAGGGCTGACTCCTGACTCTGTGCTTGGGGCCAACTCCCGGCTCTGTGCTCAGAGCTCACTCCCAGTTCTGTGCTCGGGGATCACTCCAGGCTTAGTGCTCAGGACTCACTCCCGGCTCTGTGCTCAGGGCTTGCTCCTGACTCTGTGCTTGGGGCTGACTCCCGGCTCTATGCTCAGGGCTCACTCCCAGTTCTGTGCTCGGGAATCATTCCAGGCTCAGTGCTCAGGGCTGACTCTTGGCTCTGTGCTCAGGGCTCACTCCCAGCTTGGGGCTCACTCCTGGCTCTGAGCTCCGGGATCACTCCTGGCTCTTTGCTCAAGGATCGCTCCTGGCTCTGTGCTCCAGGATCGCTCCTGGCTCTGTGCTCAGGAATCACTCCTAGCTCTAAGGTGGGGAATCATACTTTGTGCTGAGGATTAAACTGGGGCTGGTCGTGTGCAAGGCAAGTGCCTGGAGCACACGCTGTCGCCTCGATTCCAACACTGTCCCTTTCTCTTCACACGCGCTCTGCACGTGCTCCCGTGTCTGATTCAGAGCACTGACATCAGTGAGCCCACGGCCCGGGAGACAGGGTGACGTCACTGCCCATCTCAAGGGCAGGGCCCCTCTCCCCACCTCACAGGTCAGCCCACTACCCCCCCCTCACCTTACCCAGGGCCAAACCAACCCCCGTGGGTGCCCAGAAAGCTGCAGTACCGGGGGAGACGCCCTCTGCTGGGCGAGCCCAGAACCGCACCCGGGGGCAGACCCCCGAAGCTCACCTCGTCAATGAACAGGAAGGGCTCGGCCGTCTCCCTCATGGTGTCGTCGATGAACTTGGTCATCCGCTCCCGGACCTTGCTCAGATCCTGAGCCCAGTGCTCCTGGGCGTGAGGGAGAGAAGCCGGAGTCAGCGAGGGCAGGTGAGAGCCTTCGCCTCCAGGGCTCAGCTCCCGAGAAGGGTCCCGACATCAGCCTCTAGGTCCCGGGAGGCCGTGGCCAGCAGCCAGCCCCATGCTGAGCAGGCCACGAGGCCTCTGCCACACCCCCACCCGACTCAGGCGCTTGCCCAAGAGGAGACACACACAAAGCACACAGGTGGGGGCAGGTGCGTGCCAATAAAACTTTATTCACAAACATAAATCAGGGGCCAGATTCGACGCTGCTCTATCCCTGACTCTGTGGGCATGAGATGGGGGCAGGTAGTTCAGCCAAGCACAGAGTTTCTTCCCAGCCGGCCTTGGGCCAGTTCTGCCCTGTCCACCCCAGAGGACTGAATTCTGCAGGTCCTGTGACGGGTTATACCAGGTAAGGCCCTGCACTTGCGCCAGTGTCTGACCTACAGGAAGTGCTTAAGCCGGCCTGGCGCCTTCCTGCCCCCAGATCCTAAGGCACTTTCAGCCAAGGACAAAGGCCCAGACACGGCAGGACCACCCCAAGGTCACACAGCAGGGAGTGGCAGGATAGGGTCCAAATCACCAATTCTGGGCAACAGGCAGAGCAGACACGTGACCTCTCCACAGCGCTCTGGCCAAGGGGCCAGGAGGGTCCCAGCCGGGTCCCATCCCAGCCTGGGCATCACTGCAGCCCGGAGGGGCCACTGCCAACACCAAAGGGTCTGAGCAGAGACGCCACCTCAGGCCTCGGCACTGGGCAACCAAGGAGGTGGGTCCGTGTCGCTACCCTGAGCACTGCCTGGGAAATGCCACCCCACCCCAAAGGACCCACCCAAAAGGAGCCAAATAGCTGGAAACCGTGTTGAGAGGCCCAACATGGCCACGGGCAGCTCCCGGGCAGTCGGAGGGACCCAAAAGCTCGTTACCAACAGGACACGCCGGTCACCTGACTGCTTTCCTGGCCAAACCTAACACTGTCCTCAGGCACAAGGGTGTGTGTGTGTGTGTGTGTGTGTGTGTGAGTATGTGTATGAGTGTGTATGTGTGAGTGTGTGCATTTGTGTGTATGTGTGTGAGTGTGTGTGTGTGTGTGTGTGTGTGTGTGTGTGTGGTGGCAAGGGAGGCTCAGAGCAGGAAGCTGAAGACAAAAGAGGTGGCGGAGGGGAGGCCGGGCTGCATATCTCTCAGATAAGGGAACAAAGAAGCCAGGCCAGGCTCATTTGACTCCGGGGAAGGAGAATCTGGCCCAGAACACAGTGCAGCTACTTCCAATGCAAACTCACTACGGGAGAGGTGCCCACCCCACTTCCTCCTTCCTTTTACAGAACTGAGCCCCCCTCCCCCATCACCCGGGACTGGAACAGAGAAACCTCCGGCCCCAACGATTCAGAACACGACAGCCTGAGGACCCGCGGGAACCACCGGGCCGGGACTCTGCCCCTCACAGCTGCAGCCCCCAACACGAGGACGGCGAGGGGGGCCGCGGGGGTCTCCGGGAGACATCCTGGGAGACAGAGCCTGGAGCCCTGGCACAGAGGGGAGGGCCTTGCACGCGGCCGACCTGGGTTCTATCCCTGCCGTCCCATATGGTCCACCCCACCCCCACCCCCGAGCCCCACCAGGGGTGATTCCTGAGCGCAGAGCCAGGAGGAAGCCCTGAGCATCGTCAGGTGTGACTGAAAACAAAACAAAAAGTCAGTTTCTGGGTAATAGGGGTGTGAAAGGGGAAACTGAGGCCTGAGACCAGAGCGGGGAGCTGGTCTATATCGCCCCCCACTCTGTGCCACCTGTCTGTGCCCGCACCCTGGCTGTCCCCAGCCTGTCCCAGGACGCTGTGGTGGCACCGTGAGGGGAAAGAGGCTGCGACAGCCCCTACCCACTGACGCGGAACTCCAGGCCACAGCACGGGGCCCCTGGTCACTGCCCCGGCCATGTGCGCTGCTTACGCACACACAGGCACTGTGCCGTCGCCTCCGATGTGAAGCCCTCACCACGGACGTCGGTGCCACCAGCCAGCCAGGACACCCCAGAGCACAGGGCCGAAGGCTCCTGCCCACTTCACACCTGCTGATGCCCACCCAAGGGGGCCGCGCTGCCCGGATACAACCTCACCTCCCCAGGCCCAGCAGGGGCCAGCACAGGGGCCAGGGGCCAGTGCAGACGCCCCCTGGATGAAGGGGGAGGGGAGCTCCCAGCTCTCGGGAGACTGTCCCCAGGGGCCTGACCTCATCCGGGAGTGACCAAGAAAACCGGGCGGCCTTGGCCCTGGTCGGGGCCCCGCCCCACAGTAAATAATGCGAGCAAACACCCAAGGAGACGCCCAAACACAACTCTGATGCAGTAACTTTGTGGGCCCGCGTCTCCCTCTCTGCACAGAGTCCAGGGCAGGACCAACGGCCAGTACAGGAGGCCTCAGGCCCAGGGCTCGAGAGAGTGGCGCAGACACCCAGAGAGGGCCCAGGTCCTGCACACAGGAGTCCCACCTACACACGGGCCACGGCCGGAGACTGAGGGACAGTGATGCAGGGATGGGACCTCACCAGGGTCGAGTAGCTGCATAAGGTCAGGCAGTGGCGGGGTGGGGGGGTGTTCACAGCCAGGGCAGCATCAGGGACAGGACTGGTGACATCATACACATGTACAGGGGAGGCCTGGACATCTGGGAAGGGACTTAAACCCATCGACTTTAACTGTATGGTCAACTCCCCTAACTTCCGGTCTTCTGAGCTCTGCAGAACAATCTCGAATGCAGTGCTCAATCAAGAGCCCAGTGGCACCGAGTGGAAAATCCCCTTTTGTGCGACATATCTTGGTGCCCAACGTGGACTGTGCGGGGAGCCTGGTACCCAGACGCTTCGCCCGCCGCAGCCTGGGAGCTCGTGGCCCGAGAGTGAGCTCAGGGGGTCGGGGGAAGCTCGGGCAGAGGCCGGCACTGCCTGGCCTCCGGGCACTGCCAGGAAAGACCCCACACTGCCCCTGGAGATGTCCCTGCCCCGCATCCGTGTCCCCCAACGCAAAACATACATGCACAAATACGCAAGGAAGGGGTGGGAACGGGGTGCACAGCGGGGGTGGGGGGAACAGCTGGTCGGAGCACGGGTGGGGCTGGGTGGGTCCAACTCATGGGGAACCGCAGGGCCCCCCAGGACCATCTGCCAACACAGAGTCTGTGGCATTCGACATCACGCTGCTGCCCCTGAGCAATGAGTATCCTGAGGGGCGACCAGAGCTGTGGGGGACCCTCCCTGCTGGCCCCTCCTCCCCTCCCCACGGCCCCCACAGCCCCCACGGCCCCCTCACCTGCTGCTCGTGGATCAGAAAGCGCTGGAAGTCATGCAGGTGGACGGCGGAGGCGTCCGGCCGGTCAGTGTTGCTGCGGCACGTGCAAAGGCCCGGTCAGCAGAGAGGCCGCGACGGCAGCCCCCACCCCCAGCCTGTCACACCCCTCTCCGTGCTGGGCATCGGGGGGCCGAGGGACGTCCTGGCCCTGACCCACCTGCCTGGGCCCCCGCTTCCGTCCTCACTACCCGCCTGCCTGCCCTGGGGCCTCTGTGGGGTGAGAGAAACCGGGAAGCTACGAAATGGGGACCCTGGGAGGAGCAAGCCCCCAGGGAATGCAGCAACTGGGGGGTCTTGGGGAAAGGCCTGAGGAGGAGGGGAGTCGGCACCAACCCCAGGCCCTGGGTGGGGGGCTCCCCTCGGCCAGCAGACCCCCACAGACAGCCAGGAAGGGGCCAAGGAGCAAGCCCAGAGCCACCGAGTCACCAGGGTGCTGGGGTCCCTGTCTGAGCTGCCCAGGACGAGCACCTTCTCCCCGGGGTGACAGGGAGGCCCCTCGCTGGCCCCCGACCTCACCCTCCCCTTCCCCGGCCTCACAGGAAGCTCAGGGACGTTTCCTGCCCTTGGGAAGGGCGGGCGCCCAGATGCGGACGCCTCATCCGAGAAGGTTCGGGAAGGCGGGCCCAGGTAAGCACACACCCAGCACGCTCAGCGCACGGGTGAGACGCCCTCCCCGCACCCAACGGGCCTGCAGTGCAGCCACCAGCGCCAACTCCCGGGTCCGAGTGGCCAGACCTCCCCGCAGCCCGGGGCCACCACCACGGACCTCTGCGGCCCCGGGCAGTCACACGTGCTCCCGGCCCCTCGGCTGACCCCCAGCTGGCCGGATGGGCGCAGAGAGCCCGACACTGCCCCCCCGAAGGCTGACAGGGGAGAGGGGCCTCACCCCAGGATAAACACGGAAGAGTCTTTTTTGAACTCATCAAGAATCTGGAAGAGAAACAGAAGGGAAACTCGCGTGAGTCGCCGGCAGCTTCTCCCGAGGACCAAAGCGGGTTTCGCGGGGGAGGGGGCGCGTCAGGTGACGCAGAGAGTCAGCCCACCTTGGCCTGTCCCGGGAGGGGGCCCGAGGCCTGGGCAGTCCTAGGACCCGGCCCTCCCTCCAGAGGGTCCTCAGGGGTCCCCGCCGCCTCACTTCCTGCTCTCTGCGGCTGCCCCTAGCCACCTGGCCTCTGGGTCTCTCGGCCCTGAATTGGGGGTGGCCGCTGCCGTGACCCTCCAACCCCCCGGGAGGCCACAGTGCCACCTCCAGCTGCCGCTCCCGTGGCCCCGATGCTCTCAGCCAGACCAGTGCAGCTGCAGAGTTGTGGGAACCGAGTCTGAACCCTCCTGGCCTGGCTGTGCAGCTGCCCCTGGGCGGGCAGGGCTGGACGCTGTCCACCGGGTCCCAGCCTGCTCGACTGGGTGACCCCATGGCAGGGGACGGGGTGTCCCTCTGCCAGTGGCCCTACTCAGAGTGGCCTGGACTTGCCCCTGGCCGGCCAGCTCCGGTCCCCACACCGCAGAGGGTCCCCGAGTCCCTCCAGGAGTGACCCCCGAGTGCAGAACCAACAGGAAACCCTGAGCACCACCAGGCACGCCCCAAACACTGCCCCCACCCCACGCCACCTGGGCTCCACCAACCCAGGGGTGCCCAGGTTTGGTGAGAAGGTAGCAAAGAGCCGTCAGGAAGGGGAATCGGATGAAAATATTGAAGGGAAAAGTGATGAATGTCACGGGGGGAGCAGGCAGTTAGCACAGAGAGGGCCACTGTGACCGTGACAGCTGGGAATGGTCACTCTGGACAGGAACTGAGTGCTTAAGGGAGGTAACGGGAGAGAGATGGATGGAGAGAGAGATGGGTGGAGAGACAGGGAGGGAGAGAGGGAGAAGAAAAGTGCCTGCCACCGAGACTGGCTGGAGCAGGCTGGAGGGAAACTGGGACACTGGTGGTGGGAAATGTGCCCTGGTGAAGGGAAGGTGCTGGAACATTATAGGACTGAAACCCAACCATGAACATCTTTGTAACTGTGTCAAGGTGGTTCAATTAAAAAAAAAAAAAAAAGAAAAGAAAAAGCCAAGAAGAAAAAGAATGAGTGTCTGCAGACACATTCTCACACACACACACACACACACACACACACACACACACGCTCACACACGCACACATACTCACACATTCACACACTCTTATCCTCTTGCTAAGCTCATCCCCTGTGTGCCGCGGGCTTTCCCCAGAAGCTGTGCCCAGACCCAGGGGTCTCCCAATCTAAGGCCCTGGGGGTCTCCTGACGCAAGGCCCTGCACCCCAGGGGTCCCCCACACGCGGCCTCCGTGGCTGCACAGTGGCGGGAAAGAGGGCTACGGGCCGCCCACCGCAGCCGCCTGGGACTCCGGCCCCTCGGGGCCCAGGACCCATCCCGAGGGGCAAACCACCAGCCCCTCGGACTTTCAGAATGGCCCATTCCCTTCATCGAATAAAGTCTCACAAAACATGGATGAAAGGACAAACGAGGAAGAGACGCCCTCCCTCCCCCAGAGAGGCCCCCCACCCCCCACCCCGTGACGGACACGTTGCCCTCCGGAAGGCACCTCTGCTTCGTTTGGGGGCCACACTGGCTCTGTGCTCGGGGCTCACACCTGGTGCTGCTCGGAACAGTGCAGACCTGGGACGGAATCAGGGCTGCCGGCTGGGCGCCGGGCCTGAGAACGCACCTTTCAAGCCACCTGGGGGGCCCATCCACCTCTCCCAGGGGACAAACAGCAGCTAACCCTGCTGCCTCATCCATCCTCTCTCTCTCTGCTCTTTCCTGCAAAGCTGTGGGTCCACCCAGGGCCCGGGGCTCCCTCGCACGCGGGTGGGGGTGGGGAGCAGACAGGGAAGCCCCCCCCCCCCCCGTGGCCTCACCGATCTCTGCTGCTCGAACATGAGCTTCTTGTAGAAGAGGTGCAGCTGCTCGAAGCTGAGCTCATCCTTGACCGCGCCCATCTCCTGCAGGGGGGACACGTGAGCGCCACGGGACCTGCCCCCACCCCACGGGGGACCTGGGCCCGCGTGTCCTCCTCCGGGGCCCCTGGAAGGACGTGCCGGGGACCCCCCTCCACCCCGGGTGAGAGCCTGGAGCCCCACAGGACCCGAGTGGGGGCCAAACTCGAGGGTCAGAGTGCAGAACTCCCAGGCGGGGACACAGAGGTCCCCAGACGCCGGCAGGTCACGTATGTAAGGTTCGTCTATCCTGTCAGTGCTCGGCCCCGGTGGAGCTGGGGGGTGCCACACGCACACCCGGGGCTGCCAAGGCTCGAACCTGGAGCAGTTGCTGCCCTCCCCAGCCCTACGGGCCTCCCTCAGGCTCCAGAACCCCGACGTGAGGTGAGACAAACTCACACCCTTCAGAGCCCCCCTCCCCCAAAACTCGGTTGTGCAAGGGTCTCGGGTCATTTCCTGGACCTTTTCAGACCCTCGTGTCCTCGGCCCTGGGGGAGCACTAGTCCCTGCCAGGCTGAAGCGGAGACGCCTGCCACCCCCAGGGCAGGGGTCTGCGAGTGGCCGCAGGGGGCGCAGATCAGCAGATGGCTGAACTCGAGGCCCAGGGTCCGAGGACGGGGGTGACTGATGCAGCCCCCTGAGCCCCGCTGGCCACTGGACAGGGCATCCCCGCCCCTGAACATTTGGCCCAGTCCCCGACCACCTGGGCTGACCCACCCTGGGTGACCCAAGGACGCCAGGTGATGGGGTGGGAGGACAGGGATGACAGGGAGGACACTTCTCTCTTGGTCCTCCACAAGGAGGACGCCCACGTGCATTTCCAGAAGGAAGGGACCAGGAGGGAGAGACAGCTCGCCACCTCCAGGCAGGCCTCCGGGGACCCCAGCGCTGCCGTTGGCGAGACTCACCGCGAACTTGTCTCGGAGTTGCTTGGCGCTGCCGACTTTGAAGTTGACCAGGGGTAAGATGGTCTTCAGCTCCCGGAGGCTGATGCTGTAGGATGGACACGGTCAGCCGGGGGCCCACCCGCTGCCCTCCTCGGGGACCCTCCTGGCAGCCCTGACCACAGGGAGCTTGCGGGGGCGACGGCGTCTCCCCACTCCAGGGCCGGCTGTGGCCAGGCGCCTCGGGGAGGGGGCAGGACATGGTGTCCACAACCAGGCCGTGACCTCGGGCACTAGAGGGGACATGACAGAGGTCACTGATGGCCGGAGAGAGGGAGGGCGGGAGGGGCTAATGGAGCTCCCTATCTCTGGCAGGAGAGGGACGGACGCATTCCGGGCAGTAACACCTTCTGCTCGTGGGCACCATGGCAACAGATGCTCTGGCCACGGGAAGCGCCGTGATGCTGGGGTGGGGGGATGGCTGCAGCCCATGACCAAGCACTGCATCCCCCCGAGGGGTGAGGGTGGACGCGGCACCCCCAAACCCAGCTGGGCCCCGTGTCATCCATCGGCGGGCAGGGGGGAGGCAGGAAGGCTGCCCAGGTGCATCCGGCTAGAGACCAACTGGGAACGGGAAGGTGAGTATCCCGGGCTCTGGACACGGGCTAGGCACCCTGAGGCTCCCCGGGAGGGTCCCATGCCCAGCACAGGGGCCCCGCAGGGACGCAGGAAGTGAACAGCTCTGGCCAAGGAAGGGACCGGCTGGCAGCACCAGCACCCGGGTCTCGGCGGCTTCGGTGTGTCCCCACAGGAAACGAGGCCGGGTCACGCCGCTGCCCAGCACCTGGGCCAACACCCCCTTCTGCATGGCCCCCACCAGGGCCGCGGGAAAGGGGACTTCCCGCTCATGGACGGTGCGGGGGAGGCAGAAGACGGGGCAGAGGGCGGGCAGGAAACAGGCGCTCGCTGGGGGCAGCAGGAAGGGGGTCCGGGGGGCCACACCCCCAAGAGGGCCGGGCCGCACACATCTTGGCCATGGAGCGCAGGGGCTGGTGCAGTGTCCCGAGAGGGGCCTAGGGAGGTCGTGAGCCCACGCCATGCCAGCACCAGCCAGGGCCGCCCCAGCATGAGAACAGAAACGCCCGTGGTGGCAGCACCCCAAGGTGGACAGACCCCCACCCCCCAGGAGGGGACAGGTCAGGGAGGGGGCAGTGAGCCGGCCGCCACCAGCGTCCACCTGTGCCCACTCAGGACCACATCCCCCCCACCCTCCGACTTGGAGGGAGGAGGCCCCGACGGCCCCCGGGCACACTGGGCAGTGCAGGCCGCTGCCCCTGGAGGCCAGTGACCAGCTCAGTGGAGAGCAGGCAGGAAGCAGTTACTTGAGGGGAAAGGCCTGGGGCGGGCGGGAGGGTCCGAAGGGCCAGCTGGCCTTGGGACACGTGAGGGGCACCACCCGGAAATGCAAATCTAAGCAAAAGACCAGCAGGTGCCCTCGGCCTGCCACCCCCAAGGTCAAAGCCAGCGCCCAGGAAGCCCAGCTCCATGGCCTGCACCTCGCAGGTCTGGACAGCGGGGAGCGGCCGGTCCCCAAGTGGGGCTGAAAGATGAACGGAAGTTTCTGATTCAGAAACACCTGGCGTAGTCGCCTCTGTGCACCCAAGCCTGCAGCACCCCGGAGCTGGCGCACCCCAGGGCTGGAGCAGCCCAGGTTGGAGCACGCAGGGCTGGAGCACCCTGTTTTGGAGCACCCAGGGCTGGAGCACCCTAAGGCTGGAGCAACCCAGGGCTGGACCACCCAGGGCTGGCAAACATCCATCCACACACAGACAGCCCCCAGCCTCCACAGCAGGATCACACACAAGAAAGGGGCTCAGGGATGCAGGTTTTGTGACCCAGATCTCTAGGCTCACAGAGTCGGGAGTGGGCGACATCTCCCCATGCTCCTGGGAGCCTGGCAGTCACGCCCACAAACTGCCTCTGGTGTCGTGTAAGCTCATTACGGCCATGACCCAGAGACTCACAAACAAATCTCTCGGAAGAGAGCAACACAAGAGCATCACGCCGCAGAGATGCCTCCGGACCCCCAAAGTCACCGTCCAGTTAAAAAAAAATTAAATTAACCTCAGCTGCATCGCTGTATTTAGAATTTTAGAATTCCGACATCTCATGCTCTACATCGCTGACGTACCAAGACAAGGGCTGAATGGCTGCAGGGTGAAGGACAACCAGTCACACACTTCCTCGAAGGAAGCTTCTTGGGGTCATTTTTCGTGGGTTATTTGTAACAAGTCACACAAAATAAATTACTTAGGTCGTGCTTTGGGGGCAGGGTTTGGGGGTCAGGGTGGAAACATTCTAAACACGGTGGTGGAAGGTGTAATAGTGGCAGGTTTGGTGTTGGAATGTTAAGTGTTAACAAATTCTTGTGAACTTTATAAAAGTATAATTAGATTAATTTTAAAAAGAAGAAGAAGAAAGGGGCTGGGAGACCCCGACCGTGTAGTGGTGGTCGAGTCCAACACTCACAGCTCACAGCCTGGCCGAGACGGCACTGTCTGCACACCACACAAATGCACACACACACAGACACACACACCACACATAGACACACACATATCCACACACTCATACACACACATAAACAGACACACACACCCCACACACAAAGACACACGCAGACACACACACTCATATACACACACATAAACAGACACACACCACGCAGACACGCACACTCAAACATACACTCACACACACATACACAGACACACACACTCTCATACTCATACACTCACGCACACACACGCACACGACGTCCAGGATGGCCCGGTGCAGGCCAGTAAATGCCCAACCCACCCGCTGTCCCGTCTCTCTGGGCTGTCTGTGGGTTTCAACGGTGCCTTCCTGCGACAGGGCAGGGACCCGACTGCGGGGTGGGGACAGGAGGCCACTGCCCTGATATTGGTGGGAGCCAGGATGACCGGACTTGGGGTCTCACACAGGCAGGGCTCTGCCTCATGCCATCCTTAAATCAATAAAAAAATGTTTTAATTAAAGAAAAAAAAAACCAGAATAAAAGCGGGGTCTGAGAGAATCAGGTGTATATGAACCTTACCTGTTTCTTCTGGTTTGATCCACAGAATAAATCTGTTTTCGCAGCCAGCTGGGAAGAGAAGGAGGAGAATGTTGGCACTTGCCCCAGTCCATGGGGGTTCCAGGTGGAGGGTCCGAGGAAGTTTCCCACCTTTGCAACTCGAGCTATCTGACCCCCCACAGCGGGTGGAAAGGGGGTTCCCTCTGCTGCCATCTGCGAGCCCCCCAAAGCGGTGAGGGACACCGTGTCCCTCGGAAGGTGTGACTCGCGCGCGCCTGTCCACCCCGCGCTGGCCGAGGGGAGCCGGCCCTACCGCGCGCTGAGTGGGCACCGCCCACGTACCTCTCGATCATGGTGGGCGTGGACGCGGACGCCACCTCCTTCAGAAGGATCTTCAGGCCCGACAGCCACCGCGCGGCATCTTCCTTGGAGTCAGCTGGGTGGGGCGGAGAGGAGAGCGGGTTGGTCCCTGCGGGAGACCCCGTCTGGGCCCCCAGGGCGGGAGCGAGGCAGGTCAGCCCCATGCCAGGAGGCTCGTCCCTGTCCAATTTCCGTCATTCTCCCGAGAGCCTGGCATCAGAGCTCCGGCCCCAAGCGCCCACCCGCGGAGTCTGGCCCCAGGGAGGGGCCCAAGCTGTGACCCGGGGCTGTACCACGCTTAGCTGGTGCCTGAGTCCCACCACACCGCCTTCCCTTGTTGGAGAAAGGAGCTGCCTGCAAACTCCTTCCGGCCTGCGCAGCCCCACGCGAGGGCACCGGGCCCGCCCAGGGAGCTATCACGGGGATGGACCATGCCCAGCTCTCCACCTGAGGCTGAGCCCCAGGACTCAGGACAGGGGCAGGACTGGCCAGCTGGGCACTCACCACCCCTCAGCCAACCACAGCAGCCAGGCCCAGCCTGCCCTGAACTAAGCGAACAGCAGGGAGGCCCCAGGGTTCCTCTCCTGCCCCGGCCTCACCGTGGCCATCACACACAGGCCCCAGACATGAGCTGGGTGCCAGTCTGCTCACCGTGCCCACGCTGAGGCTGGGACTCACCTCCTCTGGGCACTCACCACAGCACCAGCCTGGGACCAGCCTGGGTGGCTCTGCGGCGCTTCTGCCTCTCCTGTTTGGTGAGTGCAAGCTCTGTGTGTGTGTATGTGTGCCTGTGTATGTGTGTGTGAACACATGTGTACACACACGTGTGTGCCTGTGTGTGTACATGTGTGTGCGTGTGTGTGCGTGGGCATGCGTGTGCACATGTGTGTGCCTGTCCTGATGCCCTACAGCTCGTTCAGCTGCATGAAGGCCCCGCGGACCAAGGACAGGACTGGGCTCGGCTCTCTGCTCTCAGCTCCGGACCGTGGAAGTGCCCGGGGGCTCTGCTCCTCTCCAAGACCGTGGCAGCCAGAGCACGGCGGGAGGAGCGGGGAGCACTCACCGGCCAGGCTGAGCGTGCTGAGCACGAACTGTGTGCCGTAGAGGATGGTGAAGCAGCAGTCGTCCCTCTGGCGCACAGCCTTGGCGCGCTCGAAGTCCTTGCAGTTCTTCCCGGGGCGCACCTCCTTGATCTCCAGGATGTCCACTACGGGAGGAGGAGCAGAGGCCCGTCAGAGGCCGGGCACCGCGCCCAGAGCCGCCACAGACTCGCACCTGACCCAAAGCGACCCTCCCCCTCCCCGGCTGGCCTCCAGGGTCAACCCCAGCCCTGCGATGGCCGATGAGGCGGCAGGAGCCAGGGAGGGGGCCAGTCAGTCCCCTCCTCCCGCTGCCCACCAGGCGCCTCCTCTGGGGGCCGGAGAGAGAGGACAGCAGGAAGGAGCTGGTCTTGCTGCAGCCCACCGGCCACTATGCCTGGCACAGCATGCGGTCCCTGAGCACATGACCAGGAGTGACCCCTGGTGACCCGGAAGCACACCCTGAGAACTGACTGGTGGGGGCCCCCTCCCCAGACAGAAGTAGCCCCTCGCTGAGGCCAGAGTCCACCTGCTTCCAGGAGAGAAGTGGTCCAGCCAAGCTCCCGGGAGAACATGGTGCCGTAAAACACATCTACAGACACACACACACACACACACACACACACACACACACACACACAAATCTCACGACGCTTCTCTGACCGTCCTCCCCCTCCACTCTATCTCCAAGACAGAATTACATCATCTTTCTTCCAGCAAAAACCTGAATGTGACAGGGGTACTGAAAAGTGACTGAGATCATGATGGCTCCAGGCTCATTCAGCAGAGTGACTGACTGGGGTCTGGGCGGGAAGACGAGGCACACGGAGTCTTCACTCATGAACGTGGGTTGTGGGACCCTCCCACTTTCAAGCCTGGTGTCCGGGCACCAGCCCCCACGACACATCGCCTCCTGGTGACAACGCAAGGCTGCATTTCACCGAACATCTCCAAAAGGACAGTCACACGTCAGCCACGTCACCCACCTGGCACACACACAATTCGGCGGCTTGCACAAGAGAGTTGTGTGAGCGGCCAAAGTCAAGCTAAGCCTTTGCCACATCACCGAGACAAAAACCTTTGCTCCGTGGTAGTTGAGGGCATCAATGGGGGGAATCCTGTGGAACACTGTCAGAGAGCAGTATGGGGAGCACTATGGGAGCACTATTGGGGAACACCATCGAGAGCACTATTGGGAACACTTTCGGGGACACTGTCCGGGAGCATTGTGAGAGCACTGTGGGGAGCACTCCAGAAAGCATTTTTGGGGAGCACTGTCAGGGAGCAGTATGGAGAGCATTGAGGGAGCATTATTGGGGAATACTGTTAGGTGAATTGTGGGAACACTGTCGGGAGCAGTTTCGGGGGCACTGTCAGAGAGCATTGTGGGAGCACTGTAGGGAGCACTGTGTGGAGCGCTGTGGGGAGCATTGAGGAGAGTTCCGCCAGGAGCATTGTGGAGCACTGTGGAAAGCACTCCAAGGAGCACTCTTGGGGAGCACTCCGGGGAGCACTATTGGAAAGCACTCCAGGGAGCACTGTAGGAACAACGTGGGAGCACTATGGGGAGCAGGTGTGGCTCTCCTCACTAAAGATGGGGTGTGGACCATGAGCACATGTGTCCAACACACGTGGCCACATGCCTGCAGGATAGATCACAGCTGTCGCAATTTGGATTCTCACCACCTGCCTCTTTCTCTGTGGAACATACAAACGGTTTGTTGCTCAAGACGTCCAGGGGCCAGAGAGGGAGCGCAGGGCCCTGCACCCGGCCTGTGTCCACCCAGCCACCTGCCCAGCCCCGCCCGGCCCTCGAGGGCTCCGCACGTCCTCCCCCAGCACAGCGAGCCGGAGTGAGTGGAGGGCAGCTGTGGCACCTCCCACGGACTCTCGCTGTCCTTCCTAGACGCGGCCGTTGGTCAGCTTCTCCAGCCAAGGCCCCTCCAGACTCACATCCGCCCGGAGCCTGCCCCCAGGCAATTTTCACCTCTTGGGATGCCAAAGGAGGACGGGAGCAATAGCACAGCCGGGAGGGCGGGGAGGGCATTGCGGCCGACCTGGGTTCGATTCCCAGCATCCCATATGGTCCCCCGAGCACTGCCAGGAGCGATTCCTGAGAGCAGAGCCCGGAATAACCCCTGTGTATTGTCGGGTATGACCCAGAATTAAAAAGAAACACCAAATATGGGGCCGGAGAGATAGTACGGCGGGTAGGGCGTTTGCCTTGCACCCAGCCGACCCGGGTTCGATTCCCAGCATCCCCTAGGGCCCCCCTAGCACCGCCAGGAGTGATTCCTGAGTGCAGAGCCAGGAGGAACCCCTGAACATCACTGACTGTGACCCAAAAAGAAAAAAGAAAATGAAAGACAAGCCGAATGAGGGGCGGAGCGATAGCACAGCAGGGAGGGCGTTTGCCTTGCACACAGCCCACCGGGGTTCGGTCCTGGGCATCCCATGTGGTCCCCCGAGCACCGCCAGGAGTGATTCCTGAGTGCAGAGCCAGGAGAAACCCCTGAGCATCGCCGGGTGTGACCCCCCAAAAAACAAAAACAAACAAAAAAAAAAGAAACGCCGACTGAGAGAACAGAAACAGATCCAGGGCGAGAGGCCCAGGGCCAGTGAGAAGCCCCGGGTCCCGCCCAGCACCCCAGGGCCTCATGGAGTTGGAGTAGTCCCCTGGAGAGGCCCTGTGCCCACAGAGGCACCCGGGAGCGAGAGCCAGAAGGCACTGGACACAGGGTCTCGGTCCTGCGGTTCCAGGCCCAGGGCTGCCTCTGGGGGTGCGGAGTGGGCTGGGGGCGACCGTCCCCTCGATGTTCGGGGTGCGGGAGATCAGCTGGCCGCGCGGCCCCGTTTGCAGGCAGAGGCGTGCGCTCTGGCTCCCCAAAGGAGCACCCCCATCCCCGCCCCCCAACTCTGCTGTGGGCCAAGCCTGCACACACACACACACACACACACACACACACACACACACACACGAGTGAAGGGGCAAGGGGTGCCCACCCGCCGGCTGACCAGAGTTACAGGCGGGCGGGCAGGGGGCCGCAGACGGTCTGGGGGGCCGGCCCGGCGCCGCTGGTGTTTCACTGGGCCCCGGCAGGCCCGTGTGGTGGGCTCAGACGGGGGCGTTTCGGAGGGGTGAGGAAACAGCTCCTAAGGTCGCCCCGCTCTGCTCGGCAGCCCGGCCCCTTCCCAGAACCCCCCTCCCCACCCCCCGAAACTGGCACTTGTGAACTTGTGAACTTTCAGCCGCCCACTCGGCAGCCCCCCTTGGCCCTGAAACTCCTCCCCCTCCTCCTCCCGCCTCCCCCAAGTGGTTCTGGGGTTCTCTGGCTGCTGCCCCCCCAATGCCTGTGACTCCCCCGGCTCCAAGGCCCCTTGTCCAGCCCCACGCTCAGTCCCAGGGGACTCTCCTGACACCAGGCTTTACAGAGCAGCTTCCGGGAAGCCCAGGGGACCAGGACACCCCCCGCGCGGACCCCTCCCCACGGTCGCCCCCCCTTCCAGCACGGACCCCAGGCCTGTGAGGACAAGCTCGGTCACGGACACGGCACTCAGTGCTACCCAGTAGCGGGGCCAGCGGGGTTTCCGTTCCCGGTTCCCTTGGGCTGGGCCCAGCGACGCACGCTGGACGGTCAGGCCCCGTGGACACAGTCCCTCGGCGCAGCTCCCGGGAGCGCGCTCACACGGCACCTCTCGACCACAGCCCCGCTACCTGGTTTCGCTCTGTCTCAGCGCTGCCGTCTCGGACAGACCTGGAGGAGCCGAGGCTGCTCGTCGTGGTGGAGGCGGCCCCTGACATCCAGCTGCACCCGGGGGGCTGCAGGACCCAGCCCACAGGCAGACCCTGGCCCCTCGGGAGGGTGGGGCGGGGTTCCCGTGACGCTCGGACTGCCAGGCCGGCAGGTCAGGGCAAGAGCCTGATGTTGGCTCGTCCTTGTCACTCCAGGGGTCACTTGGGCCCCCGAGCGGTGCTGGGCAACCCCAGGGCTGCACCTGGCCGTGCCCAGGAGACCACGTGGCACCGGAACTCAAACAGGGCTGGGCGCTGGCTTGGCATGCGCCTGGCCTCGCACGACCCCAGGCCCCAGGCCCCAGACCCCAGGCCCATGTCCCTGCGTACTCTCTCTCCTAAGTGACACGGAGGGTCAGCGCAGGGTGGCTCAGCCCCTGCATTTCCCATTTCTGCAAATACCCAAGGGGAGACGCGCCCATAAGAACCTGGTAAGACTGACACCCAAGAATAGCCATGAGAAGTCCCAGGAGGTTCACTCCATAGCTTGGAGGCCAGCCACACATGCTAGGGGGAAAAGGCAGCTCAGATAGAGAAGGGAGCACCAAGTAAAGGGTGTTGGGAGGATCCTCCCAGGATGGGAGAAGCATGCTGAAAGTAGACTATAGACCGAACATGATTGCCACTCAATGCCTCTTTTGCAAATCACAGGACCCAAAAGGGGAGAGAGAGCAAAAGGGAATGCCCTGAGGCATGGGAGGGATGCACAGAGGCAGGGTGGGATGGAGGGTGGGGGGTGGGAGGGATACTGGGACTGGTGGTGGTGGAGAATGGGCACTGGTGGAGGGATGGGTACTCGATCGTTGTATAGCTGAAACCCAAGCACAAAAATCTGTAAGTCTATAACTGTACCTCATGGTGTTTCATTAATAAAAAAAGAAAAAGAACCTGGTAAACTCAGCCACTACAGGCCACTTTGCTAATGCGTGTCCACTGGGAGCCCGGAGCCTGCAGCCAGGGGCTGCCCTTCCCCCCTCCACTGAAGAGACAGAGGGATTAGGGAGTGCTGAGCCCAGCCTGGAAGGGACAGCGTGGGCACAGCCCGGAACGTGCTCCCGTGAAAATCGTCTGTTGGTCCTTCTATGGGGGTGGAGGGCCTAAGGGGTGCCAGAGAAACAGATTTTTCCCTTGGGCACCCACACACACACACACACAGGGGTGCAGGAGGTGACCTCGGCACCCTCAGAGCAATGCCTGGGAACCCCCCAAGAAAGGACTTGCTTCCTTTATATACGAACCATGACGATTTTCATCTGTTTTGCTTTAACCAGCAGCACCACAAGATCACAGAGCAGGGGCTGAAGCAATAACACAGCGGGGAGGGCATTTGCCTTG